TGTAAAATAAAAGAACTGGTACGTACCTTACAAAAAACTAAAACTATAAGCGGTAAAAATTACATCCACACAACGTGTGAACATAAAATCGTCAGTACGACCAAACTATAAACTATATTCAGGTCACTTTTGCACCTTTATCTCAGGTTTAGCATTAAATTCTGAATGGTATAACTACATCTTACCCAGATGGCACTAATAACCAGAAATCATCAGTGCGTACTCTTATACATATGCGCACTCTTGTACACATTTACCCTAATTGCCAAAACTTTCCAACCATCTGTTCTAGGACGGGTTGGACATAATAAGAAGAACCCTGTTTTACAACCCCCGGATTATCTCCATGAGCATTAACCACTACCCAACCGAATTTAGTTTCCTGTAGAATAAAATCCTTATTCAAACATCTCCGATTAGGCTGTAAAATTTCGAAGAAGGCTTGAGCACCTAACAATAAATCTATCGTCCCTTTGACATGAAATGCGGGATCTGGTGATTTGTTGTGGTGCGGAAATTCTAAATTAGCGATTGAAAATGACCTGGATGGTAAAAATTCCGAGATTTGTGGCAAAATAACACATGAAAGGTTTAAATCATAATGTCTGTAATTAGAATTAATTTTGATACTTGCTAATTGTGAGGCACTAGTATTACAACGATTGATACCAGCGATTGGCAAAACGATCGGTTGCGATTTAAAATTTAATAATTTTCGCTCTGAAATAAAATTTAATTCGGAGCCACTATCTAACAGTGGCCGCACTTGATGTTTATTTCCAAATTTACCATAAATTTGTACTTGGGCTGTTGAAAGTACTTTACTAAAATAAACTTGTTGAGAATTTGACTTAAGAACAATGGATTGATCTGATTCGACTTGATTATTGTCACTACTAATACTTGGTATTTCGTTCGGCTCGGGATTGTCTAAATGCAACAACGTATTGTGATGTCCTTTACAAATTTTACAGACATACGATGATTTACATTCCGTAACTTTATGACTGTTCTGAAAACAATTAGAACATAGTTTTTTGGAGCTCACGATCTTTAACCTATCTGTTACCATTAGGTTGATGAATTTTGCGCAACAAAATAAATTATGAGGATCGGAACAATATGGGCACGTTACCGATCTGTTTGAATTGGTATTTAAATTTGTTTTCTTGTTTTTATTTGTTGATTTTGCTGCTACTCTAAATGTTAATTCTGGCAGTTTTACATTAACAGCGCTATTTTGAACGATAGGAATATCATAATTTTTTTCAGATTTGGCTGAATATTTGGCTTCCAATGCTTTTAATTCGCACACAACGATATAAAATTCCTTGTCAAAAGTGATACGCTGATCTGCCGTAGATGTTTGTTTTAAAATAATTTCCAGTTCCTCAATTTGACTTTGAATGTCGAAAAATTCGTCATAAATTGACCTGGTTATAGTCAAACATACTTGTACTTTTGACAAACAAGCTGCACTTTCCTTAGATGACTTTAAATCGTTTATTACGTTTTGAGCCATAGATAATTTGCGTTTTACCGTTCTCCGCTTAATATTTAAACCAGAAAGTTTTTCAGTAGTCATTGTTTACTAATGATCCAACGATATTCTACTTGACACTGATACGAAATACAGGACTAATGAAAAAAGGAATGAACTGCACTTACTGGTTGTCGTCAGATGTCACGATGCTCAAGATTGCCTTGGACGTGAAGCTGCTGAAGAAGTCCTCTACAGTCTGGCGATGTGTCGTCGTCAGATGTCACGATGCTCAAGATTGCCTTGGACGTGAAGCTGCTGAAGAAGTCGTCTACGCTCCGCTTAATATTTAAACTGGTTGTCGTCAGATGTCACGATGCTCAAGATTGCCCTGGACGTGAAGCTGCCGAAGAAGTCGTCTACGGTCTGGCGATGCTGTTGTAGTCCTCTACAGTCTGGCGATGTGTCGTCAGATGTCACGATGCTCAAGATTGCCTTGGACGTGAAGCTGCTGAAGAAGTCGTCTACGCTCCGCTTAATATTTAAACTGGTTGTCGTCAGATGTCACGATGCTCAAGATTGCCCTGGACGTGAAGCTGCCGAAGAAGTCGTCTACGGTCTGGCGATGCTGTTGTAGTCCTCTACAGTCTGGCGATGTGTCGTCAGATGTCACGATGCTCAAGATTGCCTTGGACGTGAAGCTGCTGAAGAAGTCGTCTACGCTCCGCTTAATATTTAAACTGGTTGTCGTCAGATGTCACGATGCTCAAGATTGCCCTGGACGTGAAGCTGCCGAAGAAGTCGTCTACGGTCTGGCGATGCTGTTGTAGTCCTCTACAGTCTGGCGATGTGTCGTCAGATGTCACGATGCTCAAGATTGCCTTGGACGTGAAGCTGCTGAAGAAGTCGTCTACGCTTTGTGGATGTCGTCGTCTTCGGATGTGAAGCTGTTGCAGAAGTTCTGGGGATGCTGTCGTCGTCGAATGTCACGATGCTCAAGATTGTCTTGGACGTGAAGCTTTTATCGACGATACAGGCGAGAACAGTACCACTAATTCCGCGAGAAATCCTACTCGAAGGACCAAAATGTTTTGCGCGAAATAAAATCACCTTTTAGTTACACGGTTTATTTAATCGCACAAATAATTATAAAATGCCGGTATCTCGGGTCGGCACGTCTTTACCCTCTCGATACTTCTCGACGACTCCCCGAGAGCATGAAATAATAAAATTAGGTAAACTACCCTAAAACGGGTGGGAGTAGGGTGGACAAATTGGCTACGCCCAAACCCCTGTTCAGGTAAACTGAACAAGTGTCGTAAAATCTTTATCTAGTGTTTTAATTGTGTATTTACTGATATCCGAGACTTACCTATGGACTTTCAGTATTACTTACTTTCTATATATCAGTATTTGCTCGTCAAATAGGTACTGATATAAAATTAAATGCCACATCAAGCACTGTGTCTCTTCACAACCGATAAAATGTGGTATTTGTGCATTCTTTGTCAAATTCAGAAGCTTTGCTACCGTTGCTGTCTGCAGATATTAACAAAAGCAAAATGTAGCCCCTCCCACCCGCCCTATCGCAATTGTGATGATTTTTTATTCGTCGTGAGCCAAGGGGGCGGAGCTTAACTGCAACATATTTTTTATTATTTTATTTACCAACTCCACGTATTGACGTTCTTAAATACTCGCCCACGCAATGTGTTCGGAGTACCACAAACATCAAGACGTTTTCGATTTACTCAGATAAGATTCATCTTCAGTTTTCCGATCCCTTTAGGGGGTAGCAGTAATTATAGCTGCTGATTAGTCGGACAACTGTTCAAATTGTAATTTTTCTTGTTTTTTTCCATTCTGTTTGTTCTATTATGTTGATCTATAAATGGGCTAAACGCCTGTTGATCAACTAATCAATAATAATAATTACTGCAAGATCTATATTTGTCTACAAGAATTTACCATTCTAAGTCTCACCCATACCTGCCTTGATGTAAATAGTATTAAGTTTTCATTCGTTGGCAGACTTAGGGGCGGAGCCTAATTGCAAAATCCTATTAACTTACAAAAATGTCAAATCATTTTAAACGTGTTTTAAGTTTCTAGGAATAAAAAAAATCATCACAATGGAGAAAGGGCGGGTGGGCGGGCTTATATTTTGTTTTTTCTTTTGTTTTAATATGTGCAGACTTCTTAGGCTCCGCCCCATAATTGCAAAATCCATATTTCATTGCAAAAATGTACCATTTTAACCAAGTTTTAAGTTTCTTTTATGAAAAGATGGCTGTGTACATATATTAAGAAAAAAAAAAGGCAAAATAGAAGCTCCATTCCAGACTCAATTGTGATGAATTTTTCATTCATTGTCAGACCAAGGGGCGGAGCCTAATTACAAAATCGATACTTTCCTACAAAAATTTACCATTTTAACCATGTTTTAAGTTTCTTGTTATGAAAAGATGGCTGTGTATACTAAGAAAAAAAAAAGGCAAAATATAAGCTCCACTCCAGACTCAATTGTGATGAATTTTTCATTCGTTGTCAGACCATATTATTTCATATTGTGAAAAGAAGTCTACACATATTAAAACAAAAAGGAAAATTGAAGTCCTCCCACCCACCGTGTCTCAATTGTGTTGATTTTTTTTTATTCACTGCGACCCAAGAGGGCGGAGCTTAGCTGCAAAATACTTATTTCTTTACAAGAAATTAAAAACATATTTTTGAGTATCGTGTTGTTCAAAGAATACTATATAATACTCATAGGAAAAAAGGCAAAATGTTAACCCCGCCCACCCAGTCCATCTCAATTATTATGATGATTTTTTTTATTCTTAGAAACTCAAGAGACGTTTAAAATGGTAAATTTTTGCAAAGAAATATGGATTTTGCAATTAGGCTTAATCTCTTAATCATCACAATTGAGATAGGGTAGGTGGGTGGGGCTACATTTTGCCTTTTTGTTTTAACATTTGTGGACTTCCTTTCACAATATGAAATAAAATCTTATTTAAAATGAAAAAATTGTATAACGAGATATTGCAATTATGGGGCGGAGCCTAATTGCAAAATCCACATTTCCTTGTAGAAATGTACCATTTTAACCATGTTTTAAGTTTCTTGTTGTGAAAAAACAGCTACGTATATTAAGAAAAAAAGGCAAAATATAAGCCCCGCCCACCCACCCTATCTCAATTCTGATGATTTTTTTATTCGCCGTGAACCAAGACGGCGGAGCTTAACTGCAAAATACTTATTTCTTCACAAGAAATTAAAAGCATGTTTTTGAGGATCGTGTTATTCAAAGAATATGATGTACATTAAGAAAAAAAGGCAAAATATTAAAATGTTTTTAATTTCCCGAAGAGAAAAAGGATTTTGCAGTTAAGCTCCGCCCCCTTGCTTCACGGCGAATAAAAAAAAGTCATCGAAATTGAGGTAGGGTGGGTGGGCGGGGCTACATTTTGCCTTTTTGTTTTTTAATATGTGTGGACTTCTTGTCACAACATGAAATAAAAACATGTTTAAAATTTGTATAACGAGATATCGATTTTGCAATTAGGCTCCGCCCCATAATTGCAAAATCCATATTTCCTTGTAGAAATTTACCATTTTAACCATGTTTTAAGTTTATTGTTGTGAAAAAATGGCTACGTATTGTTACGATTTTTTTTCTCGGAGTCGAGGGTGAAAGGGGCTTAGACGAAGTCTCGCTCGATGGTTTTAATCAGTCGTAGCGAACGCCTGTCACCGATCTCGACCTTTTTTTTTATTGCGGATTGTCGCCGGCAGCTCCGCCAAATTTTGAGTTTTTTTTTTCTCTACGAAGTAGTACTGGCGGGGACGGAGACGGCCAAGCGAGAGGAGGGGGTGCAAAGTAAGAGAAGAGAGAGAGTTGGTGCCGCGAGTAGATGTATTTGAGTTTGGCGAGATTTGACCTGATGGTTTCCTTTTTTTGAGAGGACTCAGTTCCATAGGTTGATAGTGAGGCGTATCCCTTGTATAAGGTAAATTTCGTGCCTTTTGCCGCATGTAGGCTTATTGCTCCACCTGTAGGGTCCACGCCAGGGGCGAAATTTCGGAGCCGTACAGAGGCGACGTAGAGGGCAGCGAGAACGAGGGAAATTTGCTGGGCGCTGTGATCATCGAGTAGCGCCGGTTAGGAGACCCAGAGTTTTGGATGATCGCGACGTCGAAGACACGGACCTGGTGAGTTGCACATCGGGGAATCCAGGCTGCGGCAGGACTTGGTCAGCGCGTCGCCGTCGTCCTGTGGGAAGACTCCTGTTTTTTTGTGAGCTCCGAGTAAAAGAACACGCCTTATCGCGATCGGAAATTTTCTTATCGTTTGTCGCCCAGACCAAACCGTTTTTTTTAACTGCGTCTCTCTCTTTCACTCTCTCTTTCACTCTTTACATGCTTTGCAACGTTTTTTTTCAAGTTTTCACGTACCCGAATAAACTTGATGGCGCCCAATTTTTTTTATTTGTGAAATAGTCAGCATTTCCTGTAACTAGCTAGTAGGCCGTTGTTGCGTAGTAGTTCGTCAGTTCATTTGCTGTGGTAATTAGTTATTGACATTAGTTGTAGTTTTGTTACCTTTTTACTAACTTAGATTATAATTTTTTTTTGTACTAAAAGCCCTAAATATTTTTAATTATACAAGCTCGCCAAAATAATTAGCCTTTCATACTAAATTAAAATCTCGGATCCACCTACCGGCTCTCCCGGAAGTGAGCACGGGCAAGTGTATCTTCCCTCGCTTTTATAGCAGAGACGAAATTTTAAAGGTAACAGTATATTAAGAAAAAAAGTCAAAATATAAGCCCCGCCCACCCGCCCTATCTCAATTCTGATGATTTTTTTTATTGGCCGTGAACCAAGAGGGCGGAGCTTAACTGCAAAATACTTATTTCTTTACAAGAAATTAAAACATGTTTTTGAGTATCGTGTTGTTCAAAGAATACTATTAGGAAAAAAAGGCAAAATATAAACCCCGCCCACCCACCCATGTCTTTTGTTTTTTCTCTAGTATAAACTTAAAACGAAGCTAAAAGTTCCAGCCAGAATTGGAGACTAAGTCATAAATAGCTTGGTTAGTTTTAAAGGGTCTGTTTGTAAGATAAAAGACACAGTTAACATCTGTTCTGTCTCAAGTGCACCTCCAAAACAGACATCAAACGCACGTCAAGAATGCATTGAAACAAATTTATTCAAAGAATAAGATTTTAGAATCATTCTTAAATTGGACTTTATTGTAAACATTTACGAGTTTTAACCACAACACACAAATGAGGAATTTTGTAAACTAAATGTTGTAACTGGTGGTACCTTGGTTTAGTATCATGGATTCCACTTTTGGTTAAAAAACAAGGATAAAACGAAGGAACGTTGGGTGACTATTGATAAATTGGAGCAGATTTTTGGGTTGGCAATTCTGAATTATTGGCGACTGTCATAAAATTTTAAATATGTTGCCAACCTCACAAAAAATCACTAACACGTCACTCACTATTTCCACTCTATTGAACAAAAATGATGAATAAGTTTCACTTGAAATGTGTGTCTATAAATTGACCAGAAAGAAAAGCCAAGGTTGCGATTTAAAAATTTTTTCTTCGTAATAAATAATTATCACAATAAAAATATTTTTCAATCCACATCTAAGTGGATCAAAAACGACTCCAAACTTAAATAAGTACTCTCAATAATTAACGAATTCAAAAGATGGAAATTATCGAGGATTTGCGCTTCGTATAATACTTTTAAATATACCTCGTTTGACTGATCTCGCGTATAGTCACTAGACGTTACATTAAACAAAGACACAGGCACTAGAGTGTACTTTATGAGTAACACAGAAACTAAAACTCTCGCCGTTCTCCCATTACCATTAGGAAACGGATGTATAAATAAAAACCTAGCAAGAAAATCGGAAGCCACTTGGAACCACTCGTAATTACCCTCCGACAATCTTTTCCCAGTTTCTTCAAACAATTTATTCATTTCTTCTCCAATTAGACCCGGTGTCACATACAAGTGGTCATATCCTGCTGGTTTTGCCTCTTTTTTTCGGTACGAACCAGCAGCTTGGAACAACCCCTCTCCTATTAATTTATTTATTTCTCGGGCCAGCTTTGGAGTGAATTCGTGGTGGAGGTCTTCCACGATGAGCGAATCGTGGAAAATGAAAGCAATAGCGTTTGACAAGTTTTGCGTCTTTTTCGCATTACGTCCTCCAGGTGAAAGCGTGTGTGTTGCTCTCAGAGCTTCCTCTGTGTCTTCTAAAGTTTGGGTGCCTGTTTTTTCCCCTCGGTTGCATTCTGTTATGTATTTGGCGCGATATGCATCCACAAATCCTTTCACGTAGTCCAGATTTTCTGGTTTCTGGCAAAAGTCTTTCACTTTTTGGAATGATACTGGGATTTGGTTTAGAAGCGTGGTGATCGAGTCCGCGTAACGGGTTCGCCAAAATGGACGTTCTTCATAGACAGGCATAGTTCATAGTTTAGACTATTGGAAAAATGTAAGCTAAATTTTTTTTGTCCGACGTGAGACTTACTTACCTACAATAAACTGTAGTCGTATTTTTTAGCAAATTTCAAATAATCAGGTTTTGTTATAAAAAATTCTGAATTTTTTGTCGCTGGTGGCAACATGATAAACTTTCACAGTAATCGATTCGTGCAAAAAAGTGTCGTGAAATCTTTATCTAGTGTTTTAATTGTGTATTTACTGATATCCGAGACATACCTGTGGACTTTCAGCATTACTTACTTTCGATATATCAGTATTTGCTCGTCAAATAGGTACTGATATAAAATTAAATACCACATCAAGTACTGTGTCTCTTCATAATCGATAAAATGTGGTATTTGTTCATTCTTTGTCAAATCGAGAAGCTTTGCTGATGTTGCTGTCTGCAGACATTAACAAAAGCAAAATGTAGCCCCTCCCACCCGCCCTATCGCAATTGTGATGATTTTTTATTCGTCGTGAGCCAAGGGGGCGGAGCTTAAATGCAAAATCCTTATTTCTCTGTTTTTAAGTATCGTGTTCTACAACACCTTTTTTATTATTTTATTTACCAACTCCACGTATTGACGTTCTTAAATACTCGCCCACGCAATGTGTTCGGAGTACCACAAACATCAAGACGTTTTCGATTTACTCAGATAAGATTCATCTTCAGTTTTCCAACCCCTTTAGGGGGTGGCAGTAATTATAGCTGCTGATTAGTCGGACAACTGTTATTTGTTCATTCTTTGTCACATCGAGAAGCTTTGCTGACGTTGCTGTCTGCAGATATTAACAAAAGCAAAATGTAGCCCCTCCCACCCGCCCTATCGCAATTGTGAAGATTTTTTATTCGTCGTGAGCCAAGGGGGCGGAGCTTAAATGCAAAATCCTTATTTCTCTGTTTTTAAGTATCGTGTTCTTCAACACCTTTTATTATTATTTTATTTACCAACTCCACGTATTGACGTTCTTAAATACTCGCCCACGCAATGTGTTCGGAGTATCACAAACATCAACACGCTTTCGATTTACTCAGATAAGATTTTTCTTCAGTTGTCCAATCCCTTTAGGGGGTAGCAGTAATTATAGCTGCTGATTAGTCGGACAACTGTTCAAATTGTACTTTTTCTTGTATTTTTCCATTCTGTTTGTTCTATTATGTTGATCTATTCTATAAATGGGCTAAACGCCTGTTGATCAACTAATCAATAATAACAATAACTGCATGATCTCTATTTGTCTACAAGAATTTACCATTTTAAGCTTTAAAGTTCTTGTTCTGAAAAGACGACTAAGTATGTTAAGAAAAAAGAAAAATATAAGCCGCGCCCACCCACCCTATCCCAATTGGGATAGCCAAAGAAGCGGAATTTAATTCCAAAATCCTTATTATTTCTCATGTTGTTAAAAAAATACTATGTATAGCCTCACCCATACCTGCCTTCATCTAAATGGTATTAAGTTGTCATTCGTTGACAGACCTAGGGGCGGAGTCTAATTGCAAAATCCTATTTACTTACAAAAATGTCAAATCATTTTAATCGTGTTTTAAACTTTCTAAGAATAAAAAAATCATTACAAGGGAGAAAGGGCGGGTGGGTGGGCTTATATTTTGTTTTTCTTTTGTTTTAATATGTGCAGACTTCTTAGGCTCCGCCCCATAATTGCAAAATCCATATTTCCTTGCAAAAATGTACCATTTTAACCATGTTTTAAGTTTCTTATTGTGAAAAGATGGCTGTGTATATTAAGAAAAAAAAAGGCAAAATATAAGCCCCCATCTCAATTATTTCTTCACAAGAAATTAAAACATGTTTTTGAGTATCGTGTTGTTCAAACAATACTATATAATACTATTAGTAAAAAAAGGCAAAATATAAACCCCGCCCACCCGCCCTATCTCAATTCTGATGATTTTTTTTATTCGCCGTTAACCAAGCTTAACTGCAAAATACTTATTTTTCTTTACAAGAAATTAAAAACATGTTTTGGAGTATCGTGTCAAAAAATACGATGTACATTAAGAAAAAAAGGCAAAATATTAACCCCGCCCACCCAGTCCATCTCAATTATGATGGTTTTTTTATTCTTAGAAACTCAAAAGACGTTTAAAATGGTAAATTTTTGTAAAGAAATATGGATTTTGCAATTAGGCAGGTATGGGTGGCTTTATTTTTGATGAAATAAAAACATGTTTAAAATTTGTATAACGAGATATCGATTTTGCAATTAGGCTCCGCCCCATAATTGCAAAATCCATCATTCCTTGTCGAAATTTACCATTTTAACCATGTTTTAAGTTTCTTGTTGTGAAAAAATGTCAACACATATTAAGAAAAAAAAGGCAAAATATAAGCCCCGCCCACCCGCCCTGTCTCAATTCTGATGACTTTTTTTTATTCGCCGTGAACCAAGAGGGTGGAGCTTAACTGCAAAATACTTATTTCTTTACAAGAAATTAAAAGCATGTTTTTGAGTATCGTGTTGTTTAAAGAATACTATATAATACTCATAGGAAAAAAGGAAAAATATCAACCCCGCCCACCCCATCTCAATTATTATGATGATTTTTTTTATTGTTAGAAACTCAAAAGACGTTTAAAATGGTAAATTTTTGCAAAGAAATATGGATTTTGCAATTAAGCTCCTCCCCTAGATCTGCCAACGAATGAAACCGCATTGCTATTTAGATCAGGACAGATATGGGTGGGGCTTAATCTCTGGCTTTAATTTTTTCTTAATTTACTTAGTATTTTTTGAACAACACGATACTCAAAAACATGTTTTTTTTTTTCTCTTGGAGAAATAACGATTTTGCAGTCAAGCTCCGCTCACTTGGCTCACAATGAATAAAAAAAAATCATCACAATTGAGATAGGGTGGGTGGGCGGGGCTACATTTTGCCTTTTTGTTTTAACATTTGTAGACTTCTATTCACAATATGAAATAAAAACATATTCAAAATGGAAAATTTGTATAACGAGATATTGCAATTATGGGGCGGAGCCTAATTGCAAAATCCATATTTCCTTGTAGAAATGTACCATTTTAACCATGTTTTAAGTTTCTTGTTGTGAAAAAATGGCTACGTATATTAAGAAAAAAAGGCAAAATATAAGCCCCGCCCACCCGCCCTGTCTCAATTCTGATGATTTTTTTATTCGCCGTGAACCAAGAGGGCGGAGCTTAACTGCAAAATACTTATTTCTTTACAAGAAATTAAAACATGTGTTTGAGTATCATGTTGTTCAAAGTATACTATATAATACTATTAGGAGAAAAAGGAAAAATATAAACCCCGCCCACCCGCCCTATCGCAATTCTGATGATTTTTTTTATTCTCCGTCAACCAAGCAAATAGCTTTACTGCAAAATACCTAAGAAATATGGATTTTGCAATTAGACAGGTTTGGGTGGGGCTTAATATTTGGCTTTAATTTTTTCTTAATTTACATAGTATTTTTTGAACAACACGATACTCAAAAACATGTTTTTAATTTCTCATAGAGAAATAATGATTTTGCAGTCAAGCTCCGCCCTCTTGGCTCACAATGAATAAAAAAAAATCATCACAATTGAGATAGGGTGGGTGGGCGGGGCTACATTTTGCCTTTTTTTTAGCATTTGTAGACTTCTTTTCACAATATGAAATAAAAACATATTTAAGATGGAAAATTTGTATAAGGAGACATTGCAATTATGGGGCGGATCCTCATTGCAAAATCCATATTTCCTTGTAGAAATGTACCATTTTAACCATGTTTTAAGTTTCTTGTTGTGAAAAAATGGCTACGTATATTAAGAAAAAAAGGCAAAATATAAGCCCCACCCACCCACCCTATCTCAATTCTGATGATTTCTTTTATTCGCCGTGAACCAAGCTTAACTGCAAAATACTTATTTCTTTACAAGAAATTAAAAACAGGATCGTCTTATTCAAAGAATACGATGCACATTAAGAAAAAAAGGCAAAATATTAAAATGTTTTTAATTTCCCGAAGAGAAAAAGGATTTTGCGGTTAAGCTCCGCCCCTTTGGTTCATTGCGAATAAAACAAATTATCACAATTGAGATAGGGCGGGTGGGCGGGGCTCCATTTTTGCCCTTTTTTCTTAATATGTGTAGACTTATTTCGACCAAGGGAACTTCAATGTCAATAACAAGTTTATAAATCCCACTTAATGCTCTTGTTTAAATCATTCGACATATTTTGAATTAATTTATATATATTATGATTTTACTTAAAACATTATGTTAACATAAATACATTTATTAATGTTATTGTGCATATTTAGTTGTTTAGAAAAATAGTGAAAACACTACAATTTAGGTATTTTAACAAAATTGTGACTCAATATTGACGTATGATCTAAATAAATATTAATAAATCGAAAACGGTTGAGCTTTGCCCATGTATAAATAGCGATAATTTTTAGGAGCGGTTGACGCATTTTCTGTGAAAAAGCCGTATTTACTTTGTATTCTGTTTTTATTTTTTTTTTTATATTATAGTTCTATCAATTTACTGTGTTAAACATAGATTTAGTCCTAGTTAAGTATTAAACCTGTCAAATTTAGCGAACAGACATCCAATACGAAGTAATATCTGCTGATTCCGACTACAAAGCTGGAAATTTTAGGACAAGTAATCGCTGAGAGATTTATTGGAACGAATTTCTCACCGATTATGATATGAGAACAATGTAATCAGGATGTGACGCCTCGATAAGCTGGAACTCTTATCGTGGATGTGATACAGAAAACCTCAGACCTTATATTATACATATATTACTTTAATATTTTTTTGTAATAAATTGTATTTCCTTGATGAAACTTTTGTAAACAAACGAAACATAAAAAATGTGTGCCTTAATATATTTATTTTATATCACTCGTGCCTATTTTTGCTCATGTTATATTTAAATAATTCGAATTTCTACATCGGTGCTTTGTAGGGTGGCCAATCACAACACAGGATTGTCAAAACTTGTGGCTCTAATAAATAATTTCGACTGTATTGTATATTGTATACCTCATTCCAACCGTTGTGTATCACTGGTTGCCTATCCATTTTAGATTAATTTTTATCTTTCAAAGTTAAGATAACAAATTTGAAGTTGTGGATGGGCGTAACACAACTGAATCGAACATCTAGTTTCTGTATTTGGAATTTAAAATCGTTTCTTTTTTAATTTATTATTTTTTGAATTAGAAAAATGTAGGGATTTTGTGCACGCGGTTGGCAGCACTAAACCAGTATAAATTTGGCGGCTTCATTGTTATAGGTTATGTGTCCCAATACCCCGAAAACTCCACAAAAACCCATAAAAAATGTTCAAAGTCGGAAGCATCCGTAAAGTCGAGGTGAAAAACTTCGTGTAAGTACCCCCATGTCAATGCCACGTAACCTTTTCCTTAGTACTTACAGCTACGCCGAACTCTTCCCGGGCCCCAATTTAAACATGATCCTGGGCCCCAACGGCACCGGCAAGTCCACCATGGTAGCCGCCATCATCCTCGGCCTCGGTGGCAACCCAAAAACCGTCGGCAGGGGCCACAAGGTAATTAAAAAAAATTAAAAACCAAACTTCAAAAAAAATTCTAGGTGTCGGAATACGTCAAACACGAGTGCGACGAAGCCACCATCAACATCTACCTCCAAGGCGAGCGCGAATCCGACTTTATCAAAATAACCCGCACCCTCACGGCGCAAGATCGCTCCGTTTGGTTTTTAAACAACCGCAAAGTGTTGGCGAAAGACGTCGTGGATTGCGTCCGCCAATACAACATCCAAGTGGACAATCTGTGCCAGTTTTTGCCGCAGGACCGGGTCCAAGATTTCGCCAAACTCAATCAGCAGCAGCTGCTCAAAGAGACACAAGTGGCGTTGTGCCGGAACGACTTAATCGAGAAGCAGGAGTCGCTGATTGGGTGCCGAGAAAATCACAAAAACTTAACGGAGTCCATTGAGAAGAACGGCACGAAGCTGCAGGAGAACAAAGACGCGAATATGCGGCTCGAGGGGAAGATTGAGAATTTCGGGAAAAAGAAGAAGTTTTTGGGGCGGATTCAGGACATTGAGAGGAAAGTGGCGTGGTTGGAGTACGACAACTACTACGAGAAAATGTCAGAGACTAAGCAGGATTTGGCGAAAGCGACGCAGATTTATGAGAAGCACAAGTCCGCTGCTAAACCCATGGAGAAGGAAATTCACCAAGCAAAGAAAGCTATTAGTGATTTGCAACACACGAATTCTGGTGTTGTAAGTTTTATTTGAGTGATTTATTTGTATTTTTTGTGTGGTTTGTAGACCCGCTCAATCCGCGAAAATGAAACTTCGTCGCGGAACTACATGGAGAAGATTGACCAAAGCAAGGAGAAAATTAGGGAGATTGAGAATGAAATGAATGAACGTATCGCCGTGATTGAGCAGCGGAATCAGGAGATTGACGCCATGGCGGGGAAGATTGAGGAGATGAAAGTGGCCCAGAGAGAGCTCCTCAATAAGTGCGGCAACGGTAATTATTTCCTTGTGTTTATCTTTGTCTTACATAATTTTTCTTAGATGATGAAGTCCAACAAAAGGTCACAAAAATGACTGGCGAAATTAACAAAATGAGACGCCATGTAACGGAATTGGAGAACCAAAGAGACGCACTTGTCTCAGCTAAACAGACTAAAGTAGCTCAATTGAGAGCTTTTGAGAACGAAAGAAACAGACTTGAGAATGTGAAACAGCAAAGATTGAATTATTTGCAGAGAATTGATAATGATGCCTATCAAGCTGTGTTGTGGTTAAGAAGCAACAAAAACTTGTTTAAGGATGAAGTGTTTGAACCAATAATGTTAGAGGTTGGTATTTTACTCAGCTAACATAATATAACCTTGAATACTGTATGTCACTTAGGTGAATGTCATGGACCCAAAGAACTCAATTTACGTAGAAAACGTCATCCCTATGCGGGACAGGACAGCGTTCACGTGTTGTAATAAGGACGACATGAACAATTTGATTAAGTATCTTCGTAACGAAAAACGCTTAACAGTTAACGTGTTGTACGCCGGTGACCGAAATTCCACACCTTTTCATTCCGCTATACCCATAGAACAACTCCGCAAATATGGGTTGTACACTTATTTGAACACTCTGTTTACGGCGCCGGAGCCCATCATGAGGTATTTGTGCAGAACTTACAAAATACACAACATTCCAGTGGGCAACGCCGAAACAAATCGCTACTACGAGAATTTACCAAAGCAAATTAGCGTTTTCTTTAGCGGTAAGTACCATTTTTAATGTTCACACTGTAAAGATTCACCAATCGAAATTTAATATTAAAAAATGTTCAGTTTGACGGTTATGATCAAATAACTGTCAACTAAAGGCAATGCCAACATTATTATTTTAAAAATAAATTTCACGGCCTACTAGAGGATTTGTTCCGTGGTCCAATAACCTCAACTGGGGAAAAATTGAGTTTGGTTGGTAGTATTTTAACATAGTCGGAAATAAAGTGAATGAGAGTTGGCTGTAATTACTCATACGTCACATTCTGTCAGCTGTCAATGTCAAATCCAAAACTGTTGATTTGCGTTAAATTGTGGACAGTTGTGCCACCCAAAGCTTGAGCGGTCAATTCGAATTTATTTTGTGCGTTTTATGCAGATACCATGAAATATTCCGTGAGTTATTCACGGTATACGAATGCGAAAAGTACCAGGCAGAACGAGATTCATTCGGATGGGGGTTTTTCGATTTCGGTGGATGTGTTACATGTAGAAAGGTTGGCGACTCAGATACAGGAATTGCGAAGCAGTTTTACCAACTGTGATAGCCAAACGAAGGAGTATGATACTCAGGTAAGTGAATTTATCAAAGGATTTATATTTAAAAAAATCATAGATCTTGTGAGATTTATTTATTTTAACACTATAACACACAAAGACTTACAATGAATGAGACTACTACCGGTGGGCGGGGCTAAAACTTGCTAAGATAAAACTGAACAAAATTTAGAGTAATCACTGGAATCAAGATGGGGTGGGTGGGCGGGGCTATTGCTTGCTTATAAAATACTGTAGAAAAAGTCAAACTTTTTTATTCATTGAAAATTGCATTTTACTACGTCAAGTAGCGAATCAGGGGTGAAAATTTTGAAATGGCTCCACCCACTCACCCGGTTTTCTTTTTGGTCACTCATTTTATTGGACTAAAAGTGCATTTTGTCTTGAACAACAGCTTACAACTAACCCCACCCACCTTCGGTTTTGAATTTCATTGGCTTATTTGATTAGATGAAAATTGAATTTTATTTTGTTATGTGGTCGAATCTATTTACAAAAATTCAAAGTGGCCCCGCCCACCCACCCGTTGTTCCTCTTGATTACTCATTTTATTGGAAAAAAGTGGATTTTATGTTGATAAACATTAGAATCTAGACGAAAAGATAAAACTAACCCCACCCACCTCCGCCTTTGGATGTTATTGGTTTTTTTGATTAGATGAAAACTGAATTTTACGACATCAATTGGCAAATTAGGCTTGAAACACTGAAAGTGACCCCGCCCACCCACCCGGTTTTTTTTTGGTCACTCATTTTATTGGACTTCGTTCACATTTCATTTTCTATTATGTTGACCTTTTGTTTCTTGTTCATTGTTCATACAAAATAAAATATTGTTTGATTTGAACAATTTTTGTGTAAACTATGAAAATATAATGTGCGACAATATAAAAAAAAAAGATTTTCAAAGATTACATTTTAAATATGTCGATTTTTATCCAATGTGACATTCATTGCTTTCATACGATTAACCCCGCCCACCCGCCGCGCCTCTATTGCAGTGATTCATTTTATCTAGTCCGAATGAAAGGTGGATCTCAATTGAGCAGCGTGTGGGGGCGGGGCTAATACCTGCTAAGGCAAGACTGATTTTGGTAAAGACATACCGTCTAAGAAAATTAAGACTGATTGTAGCAAATTACATACCTTCTAATAAAATAGAGGGCGGGCGGGCGGGGCTAAAACTTGATAAGGTAGAACTGAACAAAAAAAAGTTGTCCAGCCCCTATACAAAAGTCGTTTGTTTAAGAGAATTTAAAGTTAATTCACTAACATATCCGACAGAACTTGTGTTTAATTTGTTTTTAACAATGGATTTTTTTTTTAATTTGAAAAATGTAAAAACAAAAAGAAAACGAGAAAGGCAGATAGGGCGGAGCTACAGGAAGAGGGTGTGGCTTTAGTAGAAAGCGGGGCGAGAACGAGCAAAAGTTCTCCATATATTGGACACTAATTTCCCCATTTCTCGTAGATCGGTCTAATCAACGAAAAAATCTGGAAAATCGTTAATCTTTAATAGTCACTCGGTATTTACAAAAAAAGAAGAAAAAAAAACATAAAACTAAAAGTTAGTAAAGGAATATAGAATGACTTAAGAATAAACTAATAATACAAAAATTGACAAGAAAAAAGAGGGAGACAAATACGGCTAAAATGTAAGGCGTAAGACAAAATAAATAAAATAAAAACAAACTTCATGTGAAATATTTACAGTAAATAAATAGTTGAAAACAAAAGTAACAAAAAAGTTAATACGTAACACAATCGTGAATAAACAAAAAATAAAACAAAGAAAACGAGAAAGGGAGATAGGGTGGAGCTACAGACAGAGGGTGGGGCGAGAAAGAGCAAAAGTTCTCCATACCGGGATTTTGGCAAATGATATACCCCCTAAGACACGAGAGGGTGGGTGGACCGGGCTAGTAGCTAGTGCGATAAGACTGATTTTGGCAAATGAGATCTTTTCTAAGAAAAGAAAGGGCGGGTGGGCGGGGTTAGTACTTGCTAACGTAAAACTGATTTTGGCAAATGACATACCCCCGAAGAAAGGAGAGGGTGGGTGGGTGGGGCTAGTACCTGCTGACTGATAAGACTGATTTCATCAAATGATTTATCCTCTAAGAAATTTAATTAAATGATTATAAGAAGACACTAGAGGCTCCAAAGCATTTCAAATTCTTTCCAAACAGGAATACCTAGAACCTCAAGATTGTTTTAAATTTAGTTAATTTATAGGGGACCTAAAATGAACTGCGAACATTTTAAATGTAGAGTTTTGAAAACTTTTGACAATTTTTGATAGATCAAACATTTTTAATAGTCAGTCGGTGTTTCCAAAAAAAGAAAAAAACATTAAAGTAAAAGTTGATAAAAGAAAATAGAATGATTTTAGAATAAAGCAATAATACAAAAATTGTCAAGAAGAAAGAGAAAGAGACAGAAATACGATTAAGGATGTAAGACGTAATACAGAATAAATAAAATAAAAATAGAAAGTCTGGTAGAAACACGGGAAAGGTGAAATAAACACAATCGTGAAAAAACATAAAATAAAACAAAGAAAACCAGAAAGGCAGATCGGGTGGAGCTACAGACAGAGGGTGGGGCGAGAAAGAGCAAAAGTTCTCCATACCGGGATTTTAGCAAATGAGATATTCTCTAAGAAAAGAGAGGGCGGGTGGGCGGGGTTAGTACCTGCTAAGGTAAAACTGATTTTGACAAATGACATACCCCGAAAAAAGGAGAGGGTGGGTGGGCGGGGCTGGTAGCTTCTAAGATAAGAGTGATTTTGGCAAATGAGATATTCTTTGAGAAAAGAGAGGGCGGGTGGGCGGGGCTAGTACCTGCAAAGGTAAGGTTGATTTTAGCAAATGACGTATCCTCTAAGAAATTTAATTAAATTATTAAAAGAAAATACACTAGAAGCTCCAAAGCACTTTCAAATTTTTTCGAAACAGGAATACCTAGAACCTCAAGATTGTTTTAAATTTTTCAAAAAAAAAACGAGGTCCCAAAATTAACTCAAAAACAGGTTAGGTCAGAATTTTCCAAAAATAGAACACCAAGGTCCCCCAAAATTGTTTTAAATAATTTACAAAAAAATCGTAAAAATAAAACACTAAAAGCTCAAAATATTTTTTCAAGTTCATCCACTTTATCTGAAAATAAAACACTTATAGGAGAGCTGAAATTAACTGCGAACATTTTAAACGTAGGGTTTTGAAAACTTTTGACAATTTTTGATAGGTTAAACATTTTTAATAGTCAGTCGGTGATTCCAAAGAAAAAAGGCATAAAAATGAAAGTTGGTAAAATAAATAAAAATAGAATGATTTTAGAATAAAGCAATAATACAAAAATTGGCAAGAAAATAGAAAAAGGGACACAAATATGATTAAGGATAATACAGAATAAATAAAATATGTAAAAATAGAAAGTCTGATAGAAATTTGGAAAAGGTGAAATAAACTTCATATGAAATTTTTACAACAAATAAATAGTCGAAAACAAAAGTAACAAAAAAGTTAATACGTAACACAATCGTGAAAAAACAAAAAATAAAACAAAGAAAACGAGAAAGACATATTGGGCGGAGCTACAGACAGAGGGTGGGGCGAGAAAGAGCAAAAGTTCTCCATACCGGTATTTTGGCAAATGACATACCCCCGAAGAAAGGAGAGGGTGGGTGGGCGGGGCTAGTAGCTGCTAAGATAAGACTGATTTTGGCAAATGAGATATTCTCTAAGAAAAGAGAGGGCGGGTGGGCGGGGTTAATACCTGCTAAGGTAAAACTGATTTTGGCAAATGACATACCCCGAAGATAGGAGAGGGTGGGTGGGCGGGGCTAGTAGCTGCTAAGATAAGGTTGATTTTGGCAAATGACGTATCATCTAAGAAATTTAATTAAGTTATTATTAGAAAAGACACTAAAGGCTCCAAAGCACTTTCAAATTCTTTCCAAACAGGAATACCTAGAAACTCAAGATTGTTTTAAATTTTTCAAAAAAAAAAAAACGGGGCCCAAACTTGACTCAAAAACAGGTCAGGTTAGAATTTTCTAAAAATAGAAAACACCAAAGTCTCCCAAAATTGTTTTAAATAATTTACAAAAAAAAACGTAAAAATAAAACACTAAAAGCTCAAAAGATTTTTTTAAGTTCATCTATTTTATCTGAAAATAAAACACTAGGGGACCTAAAATGAACTGCGAACATTTTAAATGTAGAGTTTTGAAAACTTTTGACAATTTTTGATAGGTCAAACATTTTTAATAGTCAGTCGGTATTTCCAAAAAAAAAAAAAAGCATAAAAATAAAATTTGGTAAAGGAAAATAGAATGATTTTGGAATAATGGGAAAATACAAAAATTGGCAAGAAAAAAGGTAAAGAGACACAAATATGATTAAGAATAATTCAGAATAAATAAAATAAAAATAGAAAGTCTGATAGAAATGCGGGAAAGGTGAAATAAACTTCATATGAAATTTTTACAACAAATAAATAGTCGGAAACAAATGTAACAAAAAAGTTAATACGTAACACAATCGTGAAAAAACAAAAAATAAAACAAAGAAAGCAAGAAAGGCAGATCGGGCGGAGCTACAGACAGAGGGTGGGGCGAGAAAGAGCAAAAGTTCTCCATACCGAGATTTTAGCGAATGACATACCCCCGAAGAAAGGAGAGGGTGGGTGGGCGGGGCTAGTAGCTGCTAAGATAGATAACACTGATTTTGGCAAATGAGATATTCTCAAAGAAAAGAGAGGGCGGGTGGGCGGGGTTAGTACCTGCAAAGGTAAAACTGATTTTGGCAAATGACATACCCCGAAGAAAGGAGAGGGTGGGTGGGCGGGGCTAGTAGCTGCTAAGATAAGGTTGATTTTAGCAAATGACGTATCATCTAAGAAATTTAATTAAGATATTATTAGAAAAGACGCTAGAGGCTCCAAAGCACTTTTAAATTCTTTCCAAACAGGAATACCTAGAAACTCAAGATTGTTTTAAATTTTTCAAAAAAAAAAACGGGGCCCAAACTCGACTCAAAAACAGGTCAGGTTAGAATTTTCCAAAAATAGAAAACACCAAAGTCCCCCAAAATTGTTTTAAATAATTTACAAAAAAATCGTAAAAATAAAACACCAAAAGCTCAAAAGATTTTTTCAAGTTCATCTATTTTATCTGAAAATAAAACACGAGGGGACCTAAAATGAACTGCGAACATTTTAAATGTAGAGTTTTGAAAATTTTTGACAATTTTTGATAGGTCAAACATTTTTAATAGTCAGTCGGTATTTCCAAAAAAAGAAAAAAGCATAAAAATAAAAGTTGGTAAAGGAAAATAGAATGATTTTGGAATAATGGGAAAATACAAAAATTGGCAAAAAAAAAAGATAAAGAGACACAAATATATTAAGAATAATTCAGAATAAATAAAATAAAAATAGAAAGTCTGATAGAAATGCGGGAAAGGTGAAATAAACTTCAAATGAAATTTTTACAACAAATAAATAGTCGAAAACAAAAGTAACAGAAAAGTAAATACGTAACACAGTCGTGAAAAAACAAAAAATAAAACAAAGAAAACGAGAAAGGCAGACTGGGCGGAGCTACAGACAGAGGGTGGGGCGAGAAAGAGCAAGAGTTCTCCATGCCGGGATTTTGGAAAATGACATACTCCCGAAGAAAGGAGAGGGTGGGTGAGCGGGGTAGTGGCTGCTAAGATAAGAGAAAATTTCATGTAGTCACTTAATATTTGCAAAAAAAGAAAAAAACATGTAAAACTGAAAGTTAGTAAAGGAAAATAGAATAATTTAAGAATAAAGCAACAATACAAAAATTGACACGAAAATAAAACAACCGTGAAAAAATAAAAACCAGAACAAAGAAAACGAGAAAGGCAGATCCCGAAGAAAGGAGAGGGTGGGTGGGCGGGGCTAGTAGTTGCTAAGATAAGAGTGATTTTGGCAAATGAGATATTCTCTAAGAAAAGAGAAATCGGGTGGGCGGGGCTAGTACCTGCAAAGGTAAGGTTGATTTTAGCAAATGACGTATCCTCTAAGAAATTTAATTAAATTATTAAAAGGAAATACACTAGAGGCTCCAAAGCACTCTCAAATTCTTTCCAAACAGGAATACCTAGAACCTCAAGATTGTTTCAAATTAAAAAAAAAACGGGGTCCCAAAATTAACCTAAAAAACCGGTTAGGTCAGAATTTTCCAAAAATAGAACACCAAGGTGACCCAAAATTGTTTTAAATAACTTACAAAAAATCGTAAAAAATAAAACACTAAAAGCTCAAAAGATTTTTCAAGTTCACCCACTTTATCTGAAAATAAAACACAAGGGGGCGTAAAATTAACTGCGAATATTTTAAGCGTAGGGTTTTGAAAACTTTTGACAATTTTTGATAGATTAAAGATTTTTAATAGTCAGTCGGTGATTCCAAAGAAAAAAAGCATAAAATTGAAAGTTGTTAAAATCAATAAAAATAGAATGATTTCAGAATAAAGCAATAATACAAAAATTGGCAAGAAAATAGAAAAAGAGACATAAATATGATTAAGGATAATACAGAATAAATAAAATATGTAAAAATAGAAAGTCTGATAGAAATTTGGAAAAGGTGAAATAAACTTCATATGAAATTTTTACAACAAATAAATAGTCGAAAACAAAAGTAACAAAAAAGTTAATACGTAACACAATCGTAAAAAAACAAAAAATAAAACAAAGAAAACGAGAAAGGCAGATCGGGCGGAGATGTAGACAGAGGGTGGGGCGAGAAAGAGCAAAAGTTCTCTATACCGGGATTTTGGCGAATGACGTACCCCCTAAGAAAGGAAAGGGTGGGTGGGCGGGGCTAGTAGTTGCTAAGATAAGAGTGATTTTGGCAAATGAGATATTCTCTAAGAAAAGAGAAATCGGGTGGGCGGGGCTAGTACCTGCAAAGGTAAGGTTGATTTTAGCAAATGACGTATCCTCTAAGAAATTTAATTAAATTATTAAAAGTAAATACACTACAGGCTTCAAAGCACTTTCAAATTCTTTCCAAACAGGAATGCCTAGAATCTCAAGATTGTTTTAAATTAAAAAAAAAAAGGCGTCCCAAAATTAACCTATAAAAACAGGTCAGGGGCCTGTTGCACAATTAAAATAATTTTACAAGTTACAAAATACAATTTACAAGTTACAAAATATTAGAACTAGTAATTCGTATTGCACAATCTAAAAATAATTACTTGTAAATTGAGCGACAATTCTACAAGTAGTTAAAACAATATATTAGTAAAGGTTGTGACTGTCAGAGAATTTGTCAAATAGTTTTTAAGTTTTGTCAAAATGGGCAAGCGCGATGAACAAAGAAAATTAAAAAAAAAAAAACAAAAAAAAACGTGGGGGAAGTGGGCGACTCTATAAAACTTTTCTATTTCGTTAGGAATATTTTCTGGCCATCTAACAATTCGATTTAAAAGAACATTATTCACTACATTCACTACTCTTTGAACAGTACGGCAAACAGTGCTCTTGTCAACTCCATGTGCATCACCGACTATGTGGTATTGGGCGCCACATCCAAGCCAGTGTAAAGCTACAGATAACTGTTGCTTTGGGGTTAAAGCACCACTTTTACTAGTATTATGCAGGAGTAGAGGCCCTATTTCATTTAGAAGCAAATCCAATTTTTCTGCGGACATTCTAAATCTTTCCGTATGTTTTACACTTGTTTGAAAATTGAAATTGATCCTCGGACGAAATATTTTTCTTCTCCGGTTTACCTGCCACCTATTTGGTTCTTCATCTTCCCTAGACGAGTCAAATAACAAGTGTCGCAACATATTTTTATACTTGTAAACAAAATTATTGGAGACTACCGACTTGTAGAAATTTCATTACTGAAACGTCAAAATTTCTACAAACTAATGAAAATTATTTTATTTGTGCAACAAACACTTGTAAATTCGTAGAAATTATACTAATGGGTTTGAAAACTATTAGTTGTAACTTGTAGAATTTATTAAATGATTGTGCAACAAAATTCCACAAATTACAATTTACAAGACTAATATTATTAGACTTGTAAGTATTGTGCAACAGGCCCCAGGTTAGAATTTTCCAAAAATAGAACACCAAGGTCCCCCAAAATTTTTTAAATAATTTACAAAAAAATCGTAAAAAGAAAACACTAAAAGCTCAAAATATTTTTTCAAGTTCATCCACTTTATCTGAAAATAAAACACTAGGGGACCTAAAATTAACTGCGAACATTTTAAACGTAGAGTTTTGAAAACTTTTGACAATTTTTGACAGGTCAAACATTTTTAGTAATCAGTCGATATTTCCAAGAAAAGAAAAAAACATAAAAATAAAAGTTGGTAAAGGAAAATAGAATGATTTTAGAATAAAGCAATAATACAAAAAGAGAAAAAGATACAAATATGATTAAGGATGTAAGACGTACGAGTACTACAGAATAAATAAAATTAAAATAGAAAGTCTGATAGAAACACGGGAAAGGTGAAATAAATTTCATGTGTAACACAATCGTGACAAAACAAAACAAAGAAAACGAGAAAGGCAGATCGGGCGGAGCTACAGACAGAGGGTGGGGCGACAAAGAGTAAAAGTTCTCCATACCGGGATTTTGGCGAATGACATACCCCCTAAGAAAGGAAAAGGTGGGTGGAGCTAGTAGCTGCTAAGATAAGAATGATTTTGGCAAATGAGATATTCTCTAAGAAAATAGAGGGCGGGTGGGCGGGGTTAGTACCTGCTAAAGTAAAAGTGATTTTGGCAAATGATATACCCCGAAGAAAGGAGAGGGTGGGTGGGCGGGGTAGTGGCTGCTAAGATAAGAGAAAATTTCGTGTAGTCACTCCATATTTGCAAAAAAAGAAAAAACATGTAAAACTGAAAGTTAGTAAAGGAAAATCAAATAATTTAAGAATAAAGCAACAATACAAAAATTGACAAGAAAATAAAACAATCGTGAAAAAATATAAAGCAGAACAAAAAAAACGAGAAAGGCAGATAGTATATGGGATACTAATTTCGTCATTCTCTGTAGATCGGCCTTATCAACGACAAAATCTCGAAAATCGGCGACGAGCTCAAATACATCCACGGCATCAAGCAGCAAGTCCAAGCGACCGAGAGCCGCATCGCCGCCATGCAGCGTCGCGTCCAAGAAATGCGCCAATCCGGCTCCAACGGCGACGAAATCCGCAACCAGGCCCGCAACAAAATAAAAGTGAGCAATTGCCACCCCCGTTTCCCACTTTTATAACCAAAAACAAATTCCAGAAAGTCGTCCGAGCCATCCGCCAAATTTCTCTCGACCTCAAGAACACCTACAAATCGCTATCGGTTCTGATAGTCAAGAGCCAGCTGAACTCCATCAAGATCGACAGCGTGAGACGCCAAGCCGCCTATTTGGAAAACAAGAACGAGGAAGCTAGACGGCTGATGAAAGAGAGCGAAGCCACGATGAGCCAGGTCAAAGAAGCGTATGCCAATAGTAAGGGACAAGCTAAAGCCGCGCTGCAAAAGGCCAAAGGATTGTCGAACAATTTCACGCCTGACGACGAAGGCTTCGACGAGTTCAGGGAGGTCCATGAGAGTTTGCCGTCGGAGATGGGGCCGCTGCAGGACGAGAAGCATCGCCTGAATGCGAAGATAGAGTGTCTGAACACGGCGGACGACGACGAGATGCGGGAGTACGAAGAGAGGGTTGAGGTAAGTAGCGCATGCGCAGCTATCGCACATTACTTAAACCAACTTCAGATCATCCGCAACCTCCAAGAAACCGTCGACCGCGCCCACGTGGACCTGTCCAAGATCACCTCCCGCATGGACCAGCTGCGCGAGGAGTGGCTGGACCCCTTGCGGCAGCTCGTGTCCGAGATCAACACCAACTTCGGCGCCGCTTTCGAGCGCATGGGGTGCGCCGGCGAGGTGTCCATCAACCCCGGCGACGACGAGCGGGACTTTTCCAACTACGGGATCTGCATCAAGGTGACGTATCGGAACGGGGAGCCTCTGCAGGAGCTGAACACCGTGACCCAGAGCGGCGGCGAGAGGGCGGTGGCCACGGCGGTGTTCATGCTGGCGCTGCAGGAGTTGACGCCGGTGCCGTTCAGGTGCGTGGATGAGATCAACCAGGGCATGGACGTCAACAACGAGAAGCGGATTCTGGACTTGCTGATGGAGACGACGAGTCTGCCGAACACGTCGCAGTACTTTTTGATCACCCCGAAGCTGGTGCCGAATTTGACGTACACGAGGACCACGATGGTGCACGTTGTGCACAATGGGCCGTTTATCGAGCAGGATAGGAAGTGGGGGGTGTCGCGGTTGTGTAATCCGCAAGGGGTAGCGATACGTTAAGGGGGTTTGTAAATTTTTTCAGATTTTTGAGTACTTTTCTAAATTTTTCAAAGTAAAAAATGGCCAAACGGATCCAGCAAGTTTCTGGGTCCTTAGTTTTAATTGTTATTGATGTACAAAACAAAATTTATATTAAATGGAATTAATAAAGATTTTTTATATTTATACAAGGTGTTTGTCTAGCCTAACCAACCGGAAGATGCACTCCAAAGTACATTTTCAGGTTCCCTTTTATATTTCAGTTAATTCAGATGCTCCAATTACAGAAATCAAGTAAACTTAAAATATAATATAAACAAAATAGAAATAAGTGAATTTTCGACCGACGCCAACACGTGTGTAAATTTGTTTCATTGTTTGTAAATTCACAGTTCATGTTAGGAGTTTCATCGTTAACTAGTGCTAACAACGCCTCTCCTCACAACGCCTGATACATTTGTGTTGTTTATTATGTGTTTTGTTTGATTCTGCTAACCTCAAAAATTACAACAATTACAAAGACGTCCAGATTTTTTAATAAATAAATAAGCAAAATTGTATAACAATATTTATGCTCCTGCAAATGTGGTTTATGAGTTCGTGTTCAGTTTTACCTTTAATATACATGATTAAAAATTTCCAGAAAATTCGAATTAAAAGTGATTTTTTACAAATCGTAAAAATTGCCACATTTCAATTGGCAATTTTGGAAAAACACTAGCAAATGACCTCTGTACATCGGAATCTACAGCTAACTTTCGAAAATAGTTGAAAAATGGTCGAAAATGTCAAGAGTGCCAAATCAGTACTATCTTATCAAATACTAGCCCCGCCCACCCACCCTCTATTTTCTTAGAGGATATGTGATTTGCAAAAATCAGTCTTATCTTAGCAAGTACTAATAACGCCCACCCACCCACCTCTTCTCTTTCTATGAACTAACTCTATTTCAGTTCAGTATAAGATCATTCATTTCATTCAAATTGGATAAAATCAATCACTCAGATTAATTATGTTCCGTAAATATCAAATTATTTGAAAAAATTTAAAAATCGAAGAATTGAAAAATCGAAAATTCGATTAATGAAATAATAGAAAACTTGAAATTCCAAGAAATCGGAAAACCCAAAAATCGAAATATAGAAAAAAAGAAATAGAAAGTTGAAAAGTCGAAAATTCTAGAATCGAAAAATCAAAATTTAAAAAAATTCGAATATCGAAAAATCGAAGTAAAAAAATTGAAAATTTGAGCATCGAAAATTCTAAATAAAATTGACGAGCGGAAAAACTGAAAAAATTACAAATCGAAAATTCGAAAATGCGAAATTGAAAAATCCAGGAAATGAAAAGGATTGAAAGCAATTGAAAATTCACATCCAAAAAAAAACGAAAATTAGATGAATCAAATATTCGAAAAGATGGAATTCCAAGAAATCGATAAAACGGGAATTGAAAATCTAAAAATCGAGGAATCGAAATATAGAACGAAGGACATATTGAAAAGTAGAAAATTCTAAAATCGAAAAATCAAAATAAAAAAAATCGAATATCGAAAAATCTTATAAAATACTAGCCCCGCCCACCCACCCTGTATTTTCTTAGAAGGTATGTCATTTGCCAAGATCTGTCTGATCTTAGGAAGTACCAGCTCCACCCCCCCCCTCTCCTCTTTGAATTCTCACGTCTAATTTTATTTCTTTTCAATACAACATCACTAATTTCGAATATAATCAGTTACTGAAAAGGGGGCCGGGTGGGTGGGTGGGGCTTATTATTTTCAGAGAATTTCAAACTAATTTTCGAAAATAGTTGAAAAATGGTCGAAAATGTCAAGAGTGCCAAATCAGTACTCTCTTATCAAATACTAGCCCCGCCCTCCCACCCTCTATTTTCTTAGAGGATATGTGATTTGTTAAAATCAGTCTTATCTTGGCAAGTACTAATACCGCCCACCCACCCACCTCTTCTTATTCTAAGAACTAACTATATTTCAGTTCAGTAGAGGATCATTCATTTCATTCAGATTGGATAAAATCAATCACTCAAAAGGAGGGAGGGTGGGTGGGTGGGATTAATTATGTGCCGTAAATATCAAATTAGTCAAAAATGGTCGAAAATGTCAAAAGTGCTAAAATCTGCCTTGAAAAATCGAAAAACTGAAGAATGTAAATATTGAAAATTCGAAAAATCGAAAAATAAAAACATTGAAAATTCGAATATCTAATAATCGAAAAGTAAAAAAATGAAAAGCCTGAAACTGAGGAGTGGAAAAATTGAAAAAAGCACAAATCGAAAATTTTAAAAATCGAAGAATTGAAAAATTGAAATTCCAAGAAATCGGAAAACGCAAAAATCGAAATATAGAAAAAAAGTAATAGAAAGTTAAAAAGTCTAAAATTCTAGAATCGAAAAATCAAAATTAAAAAAAATTCGAATATCGAAAAATCGAAGTAAAAATATTGAAAATTTGAGTATCGAAAATTCTAAATAAAATTGACGAGCGGAAAAATTGAAAAAATCACAAATCAGAAATTCGAAAATGGAAATCCAAGAAATCGATAAACCGGAAATTGAAAATCTAAAAATCGAGGAATCGAAATATAGAACGAAGGAATCTTATCAAATACTAGCCCCGCCCACCCACCCTGTATTTTCTTGGAAGGTATGCCAATTACCAAAATCAGTCTTATTTTAGCAAGTACTACCCCCGCCCACCCACCCTCTATTTTCTTAGAAGGTATGTCATTTGTCAAGATCTGTCTTATCTTAGGAACTACCCCCCCCCCTCTTTTCATTCTCACGACTAATTTTATTTCTTTTCAATACAAAATCATTAATTTCGAATAAAATCAATACTGCAAAGGAGGCCGGGTGGGTGGGTGGGGCTTATGATGTTCAGAGAATGTCCAACTAATTTTCTAAAATAGTTGAACAATGGTCGAAAATGTCAAGAGTGCCAAATCAGTACTAACTTATCAAATACTAGCCCCGCCCACCCACCCTCTATTTTCTTAGAGGATATGTGATTTGCCAAAATCAGTCTTATTTTAGCAAGTACTAATCCCGCCCACCCACCCACCTCTTCTCATTCTAAGAACTAACTATATTTCAGTTCAGTATAAGATCATTCATTTCATTCAGATTGGATAAAATCAATTACTCAAAAGGAGGGAGGGTGGGTGGGTGGGATTAATTATGTTTCGTAAATATCAAATTAGTTGAAAAATGGTCGAAAATGTCAAAAATGCCAAAATCTGTCTTGAAAAATCGAAAAACTGAAGAATGTAAAAATTGAAAATTCGAAAAATCGAAAAATAAAAATATTGAAAATTCGAATATCGAACAATCGAAAGGTAAACAAATTGAAAAGCCTAAGACTGAGGAGTGGAAAAATTGAAAAAAGCACAAATCGAAAATTTTAAAGATCGAAGAATTAAAAAATTGAAAAGAAATGAAACCAATTGTAAATTCGAATATCGAAAAAAATCGAAAATTCGATTAATGAAATAATAGAAAACTTGAAATTCCAAGAAATCGGAAAACCCAAAATTCGAAATATAGAAAAAAAAGTAATAGAAAGTTGAAAAGCCGAAAATTCTAGAATTCAAAAATTTAAAAAAACTCGAATATCGAAAAATCGAATAACCAAGAAATCGAAGTAAAAAACTTGAAAATTTGAGTATCGAAAATTCTAAATAAAATTGACGAGCGGAAAAATTGAAAAAATCACAAATCGAAAATTCGAAAATGTGAAATTGAAATATCCAGGAAATGAAACGGAATGAAACCAACTAAAAATTCACATCGGAAAAAAAAGCGAAAATTAGATGAATCAAATATTCGAAAACATGGAAATCCAAGAAATCGATAAACCGGAAATTGAAAATCTAAAAATCGAGGAATCGAAATATAGAACGAAGGAATCGTATCAAATACTAGCCCCGCCCACCCACCCTGTGTTTTCTTGAAAGGTATGTCATTTGCCAAGATCGGTCTTATCTTAGGAAGTACCAACTCCACCCCCCCCAAAAATCATTAATTTCGAATAAAATCAATACTGAAAAGAAAGCCGGGTGGGTGGGTGGGCTTATTATGTTCAGAGAGTGTCCAACTAATTTTCTTAGTGGATATGTGATTTGCCAAAATCAGTCTTATTTTAGCAAGTATTACCCCCACCCATTTAAATGGAATTGAAGTAAATAAAAAAATAACACAATAACACTTGGAGGAAGCGGAGTGCGCAGTTCCTTGTCGAGTTGTCAGATTTAGGATAGAAGTCAAGGGTGCTTTCCAGCGCGGCACGTTTGCGAATATTTCGAAAACCAGTCACCATCTCGGCCTGGAATTTGTTGGCCTGATACACCTAAGCATGAATTTTTTCATCATTTTTAACGTCCCAGTTTTTCCAGAATCACTCTAATTAACAAAAGTGTTAACATTTTCTAGTAATTTTCCATGTGACCAGAAAAGTCAAGTTTAGGAGCAAAGAAAAAAGAGAAAATCACCTTGAAACTTATTAAAAACTTAATTTTTATTTTTTATGAACCATACATGCTATAATCCAGTCTAAATTGAAAGTGGTTTAGTTTTCAGTTGGGGGCCAATCCGGCTTATAATCCCAATCAATATGTTTCGTAGTGACTATATTGCTGAAGACGTAGGACGACAGTTTCCTAGTTCGAGGTCGTTCTGGATCATTGAAATCCACATAGTGCAGACCAAAGCGTTGCCTAAAATCACCCTTACATCACCTACCAACCACACTCCACAAACTCACGTATATCCAGACATCCACTCGAAGTTGTCCATCAAACTCCAAGCCGTGTACCCGATTACATTGCACCCATCTTCGTGAATAGCCTTCAAAATCTCATACAAGTAATTCCTGTAGTAGTCAACGCGGCCATTATCTTCCAGTTCGCCGGTATCAGACCACCCATTCTCCGTTATCAAAACCGGAGGGTTCCCGTAGTGGTTTTTAATCCAAACTAGATTTCTGTTGATTCCCCAAGGAACCTCCTTGAGCCAGCTGGAAGCAGAACTGGGCCACGACGGGTCTTGGTAGCTTACTACTCCAACGTCTGCGTAGTGGTCAGGTTGACCGACCCCTCCGTCACTCAGATAAACCATGTAGGAAGTGTAGTGATTTAGACCGAGGAAGTCCACGGTTCCTTTCAACATTTGTTGCTCGTCTGCAGTGAATTCAGGAAGACGCGACTCCGAGTAACCTTGCTGAAGGCTTATGTCGTGGATGCGCTGAATCATGATGTCAGGGTAGTTACCATTAAAGACAGGGTTCACGAACCATCCATACTAGAAACAACAAAGTCATAAAAATATAAAGCGTGTTAATAGAAGTAGTTACATTCATTTGCATCGCTTGTTCGGAAGCTTGCTGATCGTCTGCACTGTCTGGATTGTTGGGTTCATTCCAAGAGGTGTCAATGGCAATACCCACAAGCCCGTTTTGCTGCGACCTGTAGTTTTCGTCATAGAGCCTATATGTTCTCCCATGAGCCAGAAGAATCGTGTGAGTGCACTGATAATCCTCAACCCCTGGACCATTGACATACGGGGCGAAGCTCCCTTGTCCATAACCCAGTTCACAAATCGACATAATCTCATTGAAAGTCATCCAATGTTTCACCCTATCACCAAAATTATCAAACAAAACTCTAGCATAATCTACGAAATAGTCAGCCAGGACTCTATTCGGCCAACCACCTTCATCCTGTAGTGGTTGTGGGAGATCCCAATGGTACATCGTGGCGTATGGTTCAATCCCATTCGCCAACAACTCATTAATCAAATTATTATAGTAGTCAATCCCTGCTTGATTCACGTTATCGATTTTCCCGTCTGGGAGAATCCGGGGCCAGGAGATGGAAAACCGGTAGAAATTGACACCCAAAGCTTTGAGGAGTTGGACGTCCTCTTTGTACTTGTGGTACGAATCACAGGCTACATCACCATTGGAATTGTCGGCAACCCAGTCGGCGTGTTCATGGGTACCCACGTCCCATATGCTCTCCCCTTTGCCGTCTTCGTTCCACCCTCCTTCCACCTGGTAGGAGGCAGTGGCGGTTCCAAAGACGAAGTCGTCTGGAAAGTAGTAATCAGGAAGGTCCGCGAAAGCAAAAGAGCTGCAAAAAAATAAATCAAAACTAGGAAGAAGTGTCGATTGGTTTACCTAGCGCAAATTAGGAACAGGATCGCCTTCATTGTTAGTACTTCTGAACGAAGATAAATGAGAGAGTATTTATATGAACGCGAAAGAAAAATTTTGTTGACAGATTCGGAGCTGATAGTGCATTTCAATCATGTCGAAACTGCTTGACCAATTGGGAGAGCAGCATTCTCAAAAATGTGTGTCGATATTTATCTTTGATTGACTGAAACCACTTATAACTGATGAAAACTGATTTTGTGAACTTGTAGTGTTGTTACAAGTGGTGGAGTGATGTTTGGAAACGAAGTTTTGCCACTTTAGATAGGGATTGGATTTGTTGTTTAGGTTTGGCGTAATTTCGTAGTACTTTAGTGTGCGTTGTTGCTATGCTCACTCTTGCTGAGAGTTTAAGAAGGAAGTTGATATAACCATATGTTCCTATGGTAGTACGTGGTGTCTAGAACTCATTCCGCCATATTTTTGAGGAAAATATAGAGTAATTTAGGATTAATTATTATATTTACTTATATTAATTACGGTTAGCTACTGATAGTTGATTAATTAAAATTTGTCTGCCGCTCCTTTTTTTCGAATTTTTTCAAAGTGGCCCAAATCGACCGTCTGACATGCACGGAATCGTAATCCTGAGAAAATTCTGCGTCCGATGATACCCCACACGGTCGATTCGGACCATTTTCAAAAAATTCGAAAAAAAAGGGGGGCAGCATTTTTCTCGCTTATTTGAAGAGATATACCAAAAGCATGCACGGAATCGTAATCCTGTGTAAATTCTGTGTCCGATGATACCCGACACGGTCCATTCGGACCATTTTGAAAAAATTCCAAAAAAAAGGGGGGGCATCATTTTTCTCGCTAATTTGAAGATATATATCAAAAACATGCACGGAATCCTAATCCTGAGAAATTTTCGAAATTTCACTAAATACATTTTCTTGTAGATTTCGCGCCGCAGAAGTCATTTCCGTTTTCATTTTTTCGATAACTCCAATGGTTTTTCCAGAATCGTCATTTGAACAGTACAAATCTATACAAAATACGACGAATTTTCAGCCAATTTCAACAAAATTTTCACAATTTCGCTAAATACATTTTGTTGCAGATTTCGGGACGCAGAAGTCATTTCCGCTTTCATTCTTTTGATAACTCCAATGGTTTTTCCAGAATCGTACTTTGAACAGTACAAATCTATGCAAAATACGACCAATTTTCGGCCAATTTTCAACAAAATTTTCGAAATTTCACTAAATACATTTTCTTGTACATTTCTGGCGGCAAAAGTCATTTCCGCCTTCATTTCTCCAACAACTCCAATGGTTCTTCCAGAATCGTCCTTTGAAGTAAAAACATGCAAAATACGACCAATTTTCGGCCAATTTTCAACAAAATTTTCGAAATTTTACTAAACACATTTTTTGTAGATTTCGGGCCGCAGAAGTTATTTCCGCTTTCATTTCTTCCATAATCGTCCTTTGAAATATATGAAAACATGCAAAATACGACCAATTTTCTGCCAGTTTTCAACAAAACTTTCGAAATTTCACTAAATACATTTTCTTGTAGATTTCGGGCCGCAGAAGTCATTTCCGCTTTCATTTCTTCCATAACTCCAATGGTTCTTCCAGAATCGTCCTTTGAAATATATAAAAACATGCAAAAAAACGACCAATTTTCTGCCAATTTTCAACAAAATTTTCGAAATTTCACTAAATACATTTTCTTGTAGATTTCGGGCTATAGAAGTCATTTCCGCTTTCATTTCTTCCATAACTCAAATGGTTCTTCCAGAATCGTCCTTTGAAATATATAAAAACATGCAAAATACCACCAATTTTCGGCCAATTTTCAACAAAATTTTCGAAATTTTACTAAATACATTTTCTTGTAGATTTCGGGCCGCAGAAGTCATTTCCGCTTTCATTTCTTCGAAAACTTCAATGGTTCTTCCAGAATCGTCCTTTGAAATATATAAAAACATGCAAAATACGACCAATTTTCGGCCAATTTTCAACAAAATTTTCGAAATTTCACTAAATACATTTTCTTGTAGATTTCGGGCCGCAGAAGTCATTTCCGCTTTCATTTTTTCGATAACTTCAATGGTTCTTCGAGAATCGTCCTTTGAAATATATAAAAACATGCAAAATACGACCAATTTTCGGCCAATTTTCAACAAAATTTTCGAAATTTCACTAAATACATTTTCTTGTAGATTTCGGGCCGCATAAGTCATTCCCGCTTTTATTACTTCGATAAGTCCAATGGTTTTTCCAGAATCGTCCTTTGAAATATATAAAAACATGCAAACCACGACGAATTTTCAGCCAATTTCAACAAAATTTTCACTATTTCGCTAAATACATTTTGTTATAGATTTCGGGCCGCAGAAGTCATTTCCGCTTTCATTTTTTCGATAACTCCAATGGTTTTTCCAAAATACGACCAATTTTCGGCGAATTTTCAACAAAATTTTCGAAATTTCACTAAATACAATTTCTTGTACATTTCTGGCGGCAAAAGTCATTTCCGCTTTCATTTCTCCAACAACTCTAATGGTTCTTCCAGAATCGTGATTTGAAATATATAAAAACATCCAAATACGACCAATTTTCGGCCAATTTTCAACAAAATTTTCGAAATTTCACTAAATACATTTTCTTGTAGATTTCGGGCCGCATAAGTCATTCCCGCTTTTATTTCTTCGATAAGTCCAATGGTTTTTCCAGAATCGTCCTTTGAAATATATAAAAACATGCAAACCACGACGAATTTTCAGCCAATTTCAACAAAATTTTCACAATTTCGCTAAATACATTTTGTTATAGATTTCGGGCCGCAGAAGTCATTTCCGCTTTCATTTTTTCGATAACTCCAATGGTTTTTCCAAAATCGTCCTTTGAACAGTACAAATCTATGCAAAATACGACCAATTTTCGGCCAATTTTCAACAAAATTTTCGAAATTTCACTAAATACATTTTCTTGTACATTTCTGGCGGCAAAAGTCATTTCCGCTTTCATTTCTCCAACAACTCTAATGGTTCTTCCAGAATCGTGATTTGAAATATATAAAAACATGCAAAATACGACCAATTTTCGGCCAATTTTCAACAAAATTTTCGAAATTTCACTAAATACATTTTCTTGTAGATTTCGGGCCGCATAAGTCATTCCCGCTTTTATTTCTTCGATAAGTCCAATGGTTTTTCCAGAATCGTCCTTTGAAATATATAAAAACATGCAAACCACGACGAATTTTCAGCCAATTTCAACAAAATTTTCACAATTTCGCTAAATACATTTTGTTATAGATTTCGGGCCGCAGAAATCATTTCCGCTTTCATTTTTTCGATAACTCCAATGGTTTTTCCAAAATCGTCCTTTGAACAGTACAAATCTATGCAAAATACGACCAATTTTCGGCCAATTTTCAACAAAATTTTCGAAATTTCACTAAATACATTTTCTTGTACATTTCTGGCGGCAAAAGTCATTTCCGCTTTCATTTCTCCAACAACTCTAATGGTTCTTCCAGAATCGTGATTTGAATTATATAAAAACATGCAAAATACGACCAATTTTCGGCCAATTTTCAACAAAATTTTCGAAATTTCACTAAATACATTTTCTTGTAGATTTCGGGCCGCATAAGTCATTCCCGCTTTTATTTCTTCGATAAGTCCAATGGTTTTTCCAGAATCGTCCTTTGAAATATATAAAAACATGCAAACCACGACGAATTTTCAGCCAATTTCAACAAAATTTTCACAATTTCGCTAAATACATTTTGTTATAGATTTCGGGCCGCAGAAGTCATTTCCGCTTTCATTTTTTCGATAACTCCAATGGTTTTTCCAAAATCGTCCTTTGAACAGTACAAATCTATGCAAAATACGACCAATTTTCGGCCAATTTTCAACAAAATTTTTGAAATTTCACTAAATACATTTTCTTGTACATTTCTGGCGGCAAAAGTCATTTCCGCTTTCATTTCTCCAACAACTCTAATGGTTCTTCCAGAATCGTGATTTGAAATATATAAAAACATCCAAATACGACCAATTTTCGGCCAATTTTCAACAAAATTTTCGAAATTTCACTAAATACATTTTCTTGTAGATTTCGGGCCGCATAAGTCATTCCCGCTTTTATTTCTTCGATAAGTCCAATGGTTTTTCCAGAATCGTCCTTTGAAATATATAAAAACATGCAAACCACGACGAATTTTCAGCCAATTTCAACAAAATTTTCACAATTTCGCTAAATACATTTTGTTATAGATTTCGGGCCGCAGAAGTCATTTCCGCTTTCATTTTTTCGATAACTCCAATGGTTTTTCCAAAATCGTCCTTTGAACAGTACAAATCTATGCAAAATACGACCAATTTTCGGCCAATTTTCAACAAAATTTTCGAAATTTCACTAAATACATTTTCTTGTACATTTCTGGCGGCAAAAGTCATTTCCGCTTTCATTTCTCCAACAACTCTAATGGTTCTTCCAGAATCGTGATTTGAAATATATAAAAACATGCAAAATACGACCAATTTTCGGCCAATTTTCAACAAAATTTTCGAAATTTCACTAAATACATTTTCTTGTAGATTTCGGGCCGCATAAGTCATTCCCGCTTTTATTTCTTCGATAAGTCCAATGGTTTTTCCAGAATCGTCCTTTGAAATATATAAAAACATGCAAACCACGACGAATTTTCAGCCAATTTCAACAAAATTTTCACAATTTCGCTAAATACATTTTGTTATAGATTTCGGGCCGCAGAAGTCATTTCCGCTTTCATTTTTTCGATAACTCCAATGGTTTTTCCAAAATCGTCCTTTGAACAGTACAAATCTATGCAAAATACGACCAATTTTCGGCCAATTTTCAACAAAATTTTCGAAATTTCACTAAATACATTTTCTTGTACATTTCTGGCGGCAAAAGTCATTTCCGCTTTCATTTCTCCAACAACTCTAATGGTTCTTCCAGAATCGTGATTTGAATTATATAAAAACATGCAAAATACGACCAATTTTCGGCCAATTTTCAACAAAATTTTCGAAATTTCACTAAATACATTTTCTTGTAGATTTCGGGCCGCATAAGTCATTCCCGCTTTTATTTCTTCGATAAGTCCAATGGTTTTTCCAGAATCGTCCTTTGAAATATATAAAAACATGCAAACCACGACGAATTTTCAGCCAATTTCAACAAAATTTTCACAATTTCGCTAAATACATTTTGTTATAGATTTCGGGCCGCAGAAGTCATTTCCGCTTTCATTTTTTCGATAACTCCAATGGTTTTTCCAAAATCGTCCTTTGAACAGTACAAATCTATGCAAAATACGACCAATTTTCGGCCAATTTTCAACAAAATTTTCGAAATTTCACTAAATACATTTTCTTGTACATTTCTGGCGGCAAAAGTCATTTCCGCTTTCATTTCTCCAACAACTCTAATGGTTCTTCCAGAATCGTGATTTGAAATATATAAAAACATGCAAAATACGACCAATTTTCGGCCAATTTTCAACAAAATTTTCGAAATTTCACTAAATACATTTTCTTGTAGATTTCGGGCTATAGAAGTCATATCCGCTTTCATTTTTTCGATAAATCCAATGGTTTTTCCAGAATCGTTCTTTGAAATATATAAAAACATGCAAAATATGACCAATTTTCGGCCAATTTTCAACAAAATTTTCGAAATTTTACTAAATACATTTTCTTGTAGATTTCGGGCCGCAGAAGTCATTTCCGCTTTCATATCTTCGATAACTCGAATGGTTCTTCCAGAATCGTCCTTTGAAATATATAAAAACATGCAAAATACGACCAATTTTTGGCCAATTTTCAACAAAATTCTCGAAATTTCACTAAAAACATTTTCTTGTAGGTTTCGGGCCTTAGAAGTCATTTCCTCTTTCATTTCTTCGATAACTGCAATGGTTCTTCCAAAATCGTCCTTTGAAATATATAAAAACATGCAAAATACTACCAATTTTCGGCCAATTTTCAACAAAATTTTCGAAATTTCACAAAATACATTTTCTTGTAGATTTCGGGCCGCAGAAGTCATTTCCGCTTTCATTTCTTCGATAACTCCAATGTTTCTTCCAGAAGTGTCCTTTGAAATATATAAAAATATGCAAATACGACCAATTTTCGGCAATTTTCAACAAAATTTTCGAAATTTCACTAAATACATTTTCTTGTAGATTTCGGGGCGCAGAAGTCATTTCCGCTTTCATTTTCTCGATAACTCCAATGGCTCTTCCAGAATCGTCTTTTGAAATATATAAAAATATGCAAAATTTTCGACCAATTTTCAACTAAATTTTCGAAATTTCACTAAATACATTTGTTTGTAGATTTCCGGCCGCAGAAGTCATTTCCGCTTTAATTTTTTCGATAACTCCAATGGTTCTTCCAGAATCGTCCTTTGAAATATATAAAAATATGCAAAATTTTCGACCAATTTTCAACCCCATACGGTCGCTTCGAACCATTTTGAAAAAATTCGAAAAAAAGTGGGGGGGTAGCATTTTTCTCGCTTATTTGAAGAAAGGATTGCGAGAAATATGCTGCCCCCCCTTTTTTTTCGAATTTTTTCAGAATGGTCCGAATCGACCGTGTGGGATGTCATCGGACGCAGAATTTTCTCAGGATTACGATTCCGTGCTTGTTTTTGGTACACCTCTTCAAATAAGCGAGAAAAATGCAAATTTGTGAAAAGAATTTCAGTCACCACCAAGGAGAGAATATAGAAATATTGTATCTATGTATGTTATCTGATTGGTGATTTTTGACTATAATAACCACTTCGGAAAATTACGGCGAATTTGATCATCATCAGTGTTTATTGTACGAAACCACGAAACAGATATCATATCTATGTTGATTTTTATCTTTTAAATAGTGTACCTGATTATATCTAATTTTAAACCACAATCATATAAAAATATTTTCTGCATATGTAGGGTATATTATGACATTAGTTTTAAGCGACTCTGACCCTTGTCAAATGATACGTAGAAGCAAAAATTGCAGGCTATACGAAGTGAAAGTAAATATAAATAACGTCCAATTTGTTTAATAAATTTTTAATTTTTCTTGATAAAAAAACCACAAGCGTTACACGTTTAATACATAGGCCGCCATTTTGTGTCACGGCACAACGTAGGTTCGTTTCACAAATTCAGTGAGAGTGCTTGTTTTACAGACGCTTTTTGATAGTTTAATAAAAATAGAAAAAATAAAATGTGTCAGTTTTATTTTCGTTTTTCCCTATTATTAATAATTATAATACTCAAGAGTGCCCCAAATCAACTGTCCTATTTTTCCGCTGGTGGCCAGTCTGGATAATAGTCCCAATCCACGTGTCTGGTCGTAATAATGTTATTGTACACATAAGACGACAACTTCCTAGTCCTTGGTCTCTCTGGATCGTTAAAATCGACGTAGTGCATACCAAATCTTTGCCTAAAACACACCCATCACACCCATTTTCAAACACTATCCCAAACTTACGTATATCCCGCCATCCATTCGAAATTATCCATCAAACTCCAAGCGGTGTACCCTACCACATTACACCCTCCTTCATTTATAGCCTTCAGAATCTCGTACAAGTAATCTTTATAATAGTTAGCCCTATCATAATCATCCAGTTGTCCATAATCCGAAAACCCGTTCTCAGTGATGAGAACCGGAGGATTTCCATAGTGGTCTTTAATCCACACCAACATCTTATTGATTCCCCAAGGAACCACCTTGAGCCAACTGGAGGCAGAGCCGGGCCAGGATGCGTCTTGGTAACCTATAACCCCAGTGTCAGCCCAGTGCGATGGGTGATCACCGGCCCCTTCATCCGCGAAGTAGACCTTATCCGAAGAGTAGTGGTTAAGACCAATGAAGTCAAAGGTTCCTTTCAACATTGCTTGTTCTTCGTCGGTAAAAACAGGAAGACGCGACTGGGGGTACCCTTCATCGGCGCTATTTTTAGCCACGCGTTCGATCATGACGTCTGGGTAGTTACCATTGACCACGGGATTGACGAACCATCCATACTAAAAAACGTGGTACGTTATTTTTACCAAAGTTTTAATTTTGGTAGTTACGTTCAGCTCCATATCCACTTCCGCCGCCTGTTGGTCCGTTTCTCTATCCGGATAGTTGGGTTCGTGCCAATACGAATCAATCGCCAGCCCGATTTGTCCCTTCTGGTCCGCCCTGAAGTCGCTATCGTACAACCTGTAGGTCCTCCCATGGGCCAAAAGCACCGTATGGGTGCACTCGTACCCCCCAATCCCCGGATTGCTAATATACGGCGCGAAACTCCCTCCCGAGTACCCAGCTTCACAAATCTGCATAATCTCATTGAAAGTCATCCAGTGCTTCACCCTATCCCCGAAATTCTCAAACAAAACCCTGGCATAATCCACGAAGTAGTCAGCGGTAGCTCTGTTGGGCCACCCTCCTTCGTCTTGGAGGGGCTGGGGCAAGTCCCAATGGAACATGGTTGCATAGGGTTCAATCCCATTGTCCAACAGCTCGTTGATCAGGTTGTTGTAGTAGTCGATTCCGGCTTGGTTGATTTGGTCGATTTTGCCCGTGGGTAGAACGCGCGACCAAGAGATGGAGAAGCGATAAAAATCAACACCCAGGGTTTTGAGGAGCTGGACGTCTTCTTTGTACTTGTGGTACGAATCACAGGCTACATCACCATTGGAATTGTCGGCTACCCAGTCGGCGTGCTCGTGGGTACCGCGGTCCCAGATGCTTTCGCCTTTACCGTCTTCGTCCCATCCGCCTTCGACTTGGTAGGCGGCGGTGGCGGCGCCGAAGACGAAGTCGTCGGAGAAGTGGTAGTCGGGGTCGTCTGCTAGGGCAAACGTGCTACAAGGGGTGTTATCTATCTACCTTGTTATCTATTACGTCAAAATAAAACTCTTACCTCACGCAAATCAGCAAAATAATTGCCTTCATGTTTGAGCAATCACTGCGAAATCGTTTCAAGTTTCTCTATTTATACGAAAACATTATCTTTTCTGGTGTGTATGTTGCAAATCCAACTTCAAGTGTTTAGATGACCGCATAAAACTTATCCGCGGATTATTTGTTGATTCATGCTTAAGTACTCAAGGTTGTAACTAGGTACTTAGAAACAAGAACGCTTAGATTTATCAAGTTGTTACGCAAAAATAAAGTTGTCGGTCTTATCATAGGAGGTACTTGACCATAATGGATTAAACACTATATAGTTATTTTTGTCGCTTTGTTTACAAAACAAAGCAGGTGTAGATCATTTGAACAAAACATGAAGCTGGAAACATTCCATTTGCTATATTATATGTCTACTATCGCACGTAAAAGTATTGTTACGTTGAACGGGGATTAAAATCGGCGTGGGTAAAACTAAACAATTTTATTTCTTAATAACCGGGTTTACACGACTTATTATAGAGCGATTATGTACAAAATAATTCCGGCGCAACTTCACTGGGTTTTCTCGACACTCGTTGGACGCGACTTGTTAACTGAATTCAGCTCTCGTTGTCTGGACTACTCTAACTGCTCCCGACGGTGGTTCCCATTTAAACAGCATGCGGAAGTGGTATTTTTTTTACCAACTTGATTTACGTGAGAAATCCAATAAACTGACGAATGTTAACAAATATTTAACAATTATCTTCTATTTATCTTCTAACTATCTACTTCAATTTTGGGACTTTTAAATACCTATTTCAAGTTTTACATTTTTCGATTTTTCGACTTCCCGTGTTTTTGAATTTTTACTTACTCGATTTTTCATAATATTGCGACTTCTTAAATTTTAGATTTTTCGATTTTTCAAATTTTTTTCATTTTTCGATTCTTGATGTTTTGACTTACCGATTTTGAAAATTTTCAATTTTTCGAATCTTTAAATTTTAGATTTTTCACTTTAATGTTGTTTCGATTTCTCAATTTTTCGATTTTTTGTCTTCTCGTTTTTAAATTTTTCGATTTTTCAATTATTGGAAATTAATTTTTCAGTTTTTCGATATTTCCATGTTTTAATTTTCGATTTAACGATGTTCCTTCGATTTTTCGCCTTCTTTTGGGATTTATGTATTTAAATTTTTCGATTTTTCAATTTTTCAATTTTTGGCGTTTATAAAATTTTGGATTTTTCAATTTCTCAATTTCTCGATTAATAGGTTTTTTAATTTTTCGATTTTGAATTTTCCTATTTTTCTATTTTTAGCCACTTCTATTTCTCAATTTTTCGATTTTGGATCTTTTGATGTTTCGATTTAGCGATTTTTCAATTTTTCGATTTCGTTTTCTCATTTTTTCGACAATTCATCTTTTCGATTTTGCAATTTTTCGACGTTTCAGTTTAGGAATTTATTTATTTATTTAAATTTTCGATTTCTCAATTTCTCGATTAATCATTTTTTTAATTTTTCGTCTTAGTTCCGATTTCCCGATTTCTCAATTTTTCGGTTTCTCTAATTTTCAATTTTGAGATTTTTCAATTTTTGGATTTTTCAATATGTATCTCGATTTTTTAATTTTTAGATTTTCCAACTTTTTGTTTTTTTGATTTTTTGCTTATTCGATTTTTCAAAACATTGCGACTTTTTAATTTTTACATTTTTCGATTTTTCAGTTTTGATGTTTTGATTGCTCGATTTTTTAAATTTTCAATTTTTCTAATTTTTTAATTTAAAATTTTTCACTTTTTTGTTGCTTCGATTTCTCAATCTTTCGATTTTTTGCCTTTTCGTTTTTAGGTTTTTCGATTTTTCAATTGTTCGGGAGTAATTTTTCAGTTTTTCGATATTTCGATTTTTAAATTTTCTATTTAACGGTTTTCTTTCAATTTTTTTCATTCTTGTCTTTAGATTATCACATTTTATACCAATATACAGGCACTGGTTTGTGGAGGTTTTTAAATTTTTCGCAATTGATTTTTCAGTTTTTCACTATTTCGATTTTTCACAATTTTGGTTTTATAAGTTAAAATTTTTCAATTTTGAATCTTCCCATTTTTCAGTTTTTAGGCACTTCCATTTCTCAATTTTTCGGTTTTTCAACTTCTCGACTTCTCCATCTTTTGATGTTTAGATTTCGCATTTTTTCAATTTTTAGATTTTTCAGTTTTTTGATAATTCATCTTTTCGATTTTTCGATTTTCCAATTTTTCAACGTGTCAATTTTGGGATGTATGTATTTAAATTTTTCGATTTTTCAATTTTTGGCGTTTATAATTTTTGATTTTTTCTAATTCTTAATTTCTCCATTGACCGATTTTTTAATTTTTCGACTTTTTGATTTTTCGTCTTTCCGATTTCTCAAATTTTCAATGTTTAACTTTTGGAATTTTTCAATATGCATTTCGATTTTAAAATTTTTAGATTTTTCGAGTTTCTGTTTTTTGATTTTTTGATTTTTCGATTCGTTCATGTTTTGATTTCTCGATTTTGTAAATTTTCAATTTTTCGAATTTTTAAATTTTAGATTTTTCACTTTTTTGTTGTTTCGATTTCTCAATCTTTCGATTTTGCCTTCTCGTTTTCAGATTTTTCGATTTTTCACTTTCTGGGAATTAATTTTTCAGTTTTTCGATAACATTTTTCTGTTTTCGACTTAACGGTTTTTTTCGATTTTTCGCCTTCTCGTTTTTAGATTATCCGGTTTTTCAATGTTTCGGAATTAATTTTTCACTTTTTCGGTTTATCGTTTTTTTAAGTTCAAATTTTTCAATTTTGAATTTTCTCATTTTTCGATTTTAGCCACTTTCATTTCTCAATTTTTCGATTTTTCGACTTTTCCAGTTTTTCAGTGTTTTAGTTTTGGGATTTATGTATTTAAATTTTTCGAATTTTCAATTTTTTTATTTTTGGCGTTTATAAATTTTTGCATTTTTCGGTTTCTCAATTTCTCTATTAATCGATTTTTTTATTTTTCGACTTTTTGATTTTTCGTCTTTCAGATTTCTCGATTTCTCATTTTTGATTTCACAAATTTTCAATGTTTAAATTTTGGGATTTTTTAATTTTGGAATTTTTCAATATGTATTTCGATATTTTGTTTGACTTTTGTTTTTTGATTTTTTACTTATTCGATTTTTCAAAATTTTGGTATTTTTTAAATCTTATATTTTTCGATTTTTCAATTTTTTGATTTTTCGATTCGTTGATGTTTTGATTTCTCGATTTTGTTAATTTTCAATTTTTCGAATTTTTAAATTTTAGATTTTCACTTTTTCGTTTCGATTTCTCAATCTTTTGATTTTGGCTTGTCGTTTTTAGATTTTTAGATGTTTAATGTTTAATGTTTAATGTTTAATGTTTAATGTTTAATTTATTAACGGAAACTTCCAATTTACAAAAAAAAATAACAATAAATGAAAAAGAAAAATCAAAACAGAACATAAATAGTTAATTCCTAACAGTGGTTAACAACATATTATTAACTTATTTAGATAAATTGATGAATGTGGATATTACAATTAGAAAAGAAAAAAAAAATTACACCTGCCTATAAAATATTGATACCTGGCGTCTAAATTTGTTAAAATTCGAATTAAAAACGAGCACGTTACCGTTGGACAATCTGTTTGCTGCCATCATCATCCTATGTAGAGGATGATTTCGACATAGATTTGTTGATACGTTTGCAACTCTAAAAATGTTTCTACTTCTAGTAGAGCGACTGTTAGAGAATGGTACCAGAAAAGACAATCGCGCCAACAAATCCGAATTTTCAATAAAACCATGAATAATATTATGGAGAACACATGCATCTGATATATGTCTTCTAACACTTAATTGTGTGATGTTAAAACTGTGCATAATCCAGTTATAATCACCCTTAATATGCTTATATCCAATCCTAAATTCCAACGAACGAAGAAATTTTTTCTGCACCTTTTCTAATAATTCCACGTCGACATTGTATATAGGTGACCAAACAGATCCGCAGTATTCTAAATGAGAACGCACCAAAGAACAGTACAGCGTTCTAAGTGCAACAGGAGATAGTTCTTTACAATGACGCCAAATGAAGCCCCACATACCTAACGCCTTCTTTGAAATATATTCATAATGGCTTTTAAACGACAGTGTTGAATTGAATATGACACCTAAATCCTTTATTTCAGAAACACGATTCAGCGAGTTATTATTAATATGATAGTCAAACCTAATGCTAGACTTAATATTGAAAAAGGAAATAATATAACATTTCTTGAAGTTCAACGGTAACAAATTGTTATTACACCAACTTAATGCACTATTAAGATCCATTTGCAATAGATTTTTCAATTCCCGATTTAACGGTTTTCTTTCGATTTTTCGCCTTCTCGTTTTTAGATTTTCCGGTTTTTCAATTTTTCGGAATTCATTTTTCAGTTTTTCGATGTAGCGATTTTTCATTTTTTCGGTTTAGTTTTTTTAAGTTCAAATTTTTCAATTTTGAATTATCCAATATTTCGATTTTTAGCCACTTCCATTTCTCAATTTTTCGATTTTGGACTTCTCGAACTTTTGATGTTTCGATATTGCGATTTTTCAATATTTCGATTTCGTTTTCTATTTTTTTCGATAATAATTAATCTTTTTGATTTTTCGATTTTGCAATTTTTCAACGTTTCAGTTTTGGAATTTATTTATATAAATTTTTCGTTTTTTCAATTTTTCAGTTTTTGGCGTTTATAAATTTTTGGATTTTTCGATTTCTCAATTTCTCGATTAATAGATTTTTTAATTTTTCATCTTTCCGATTTCTGAATTTTCAGTGTTTCAGTTTTGGGATTTTTCAATTTTTGGATTTTTCAATACGTATTTCCATTTTCAAATTTTTAGATTTTTCGACGTTCAGTTTTTTTGATTTTTTACTTATTCGATTTTTCAAAATTTTGCAACTTTTTCAATCTTATATATCTCGATTCTTCAGTTTTTTGATTTTTCGTTTCGTTGATGTTTTGATTTCTCGATTTTGTAAATTTTCACTTTTTCGAATTTTCAAATTTTAGATTTTTAATTTTTTTGTTGTTTCGATTTCTTGTCTTCTCATTTTTAGATTTTCCGGTTTTGAAATTTCTTGGAAATAATTTTTCAATTTTTCGATTTTTAGCCACTCCCATTTTTCAATTTTTCGACTTCTCGATTTTTTGATGTGTTGATTTCTCGATTTTTCAATTTTTCGATTTCGCAGTTTTTTGATAATTCATCTTTTAGATTTTTCGATTTTCCAATTTTTCAACGTTTCAGTTTTTGGCGTTTATAAATTTTTGGATATTTCGATTTCTCAATTTCTCCATTAATCGATTTGTTAATTTTTCGACTTTTTGAATTTTCGTCTTTCCGATTTCTCAAATTTTCAATGTTTAAGTTTTGGAAAATTTGTTAGATTTTTCGGCATTTTGTTTTTTTTTATTTTTGGCTTATTCGATTTTTAAAAATTTTGCGATTTGTTAAATCTTTCATTTTTCGATTTTTAATTTTTTTTTGGATTTTTCAATTCGTTGATGTTTTGATTTTTCGATTTTGAATTTTCCCATTTTTCGATCTTTAAGCTATTTCGATACCGCGTTTTTTCAATTTTTCGATTTCGATTTCTCGATTCTCAGTTTTTCGATTATTCGAGTTTTCAATTATTTGACGTTTCAGTTTTGGGAGTTTTGTATTTAAATTTTTCGATTTTTCAATTTTTCGGGTTTCTAAATTTCTCCATTAATCGATTTTTTAATTTTTCTGATTTATCGATTTCTCAGTTTTTCAATTTCAGTGTTTAAGTTTTGGGAATTTTCAATTTTGGGATTTTTCAATTATGTATTTCGATTTTTAAATTATTAGGTTTTTCGACTTTTTGTTTTTCTTATTATTGGCTTATTCAATCTTTCTAAATTTTGCGATTTTTTAAAACTTACATTTTTCGATTTTTCAATTTTTTTTGAGTTTTCAATTTCTTGATGTTTTGATTTCTCGATTTTGTAAGTTTTCAATTTTTCAATTTTTCGGAATCAATTTTTCAGTTTTTCGATATCTGGTTTTTGCAGTTTTCGATTTGACGGTTTTCTTTCGATTTTTCTCCTCCTCGTTTTTAGATTTTCCGGTTTTTAAATTTTTTGGAAATAATTTTTCAGTTTTTCGATGTTCGGATTTTCCAATTTTTCGATTTTTAGCGACTTCCATTTTTCAATTTTTCGACTTCTCGATCTTTTGATATTTTGATTTCGCGATTTTTCCATTTTTCGATTTCAATTTCTCGATTTCACAGTTTTTTGATAATTCATCTTTTCGATTTTCCAATTTTTCAACGTTTCAATTTTGGCGTTTATAAGTTTTTGGATATTTCGATTTCTCAATTTCTCGATTAATCGATTTGTTAATTTTTCGACTTTTTGAATTTTCGTCTTCCCGATTTCTCGCTTTCTCAAATTTTCAATGTTTAAGTTTTGGATTTTTTCAATTTTGGGATTTTTTTTATGTATTTCGATTTATAATTTTTAGATTTTGCGACTTTTGGTTTTTTGATTTTTTATTTATTCGATTTTACAGAATTTTTCTACTTTAAAATTTTTCAATTCGTTGATGTTTTGTTTCCTTGATTTTGTAAGTTTTCGATTTTTCGATTTTTTTAATTATCGGGTTTTTTAAGTTTAAATTTTTCAATTTTGATTTCTCCCATTCTTCGATCTTTAGCTAGTTCGATATCTCAATTTTTCGATTTTTTAAATTTTAAATCTTTCACTTTTTAGTTGTGTCCATTTCTCAGTGTTTGGATTTTTCAATTTTTCGGAATTAATTTTCTAGTTTTTCAATATTTCGATTTTTTAATTTTTGGATGTATCGGGTTATTTAAGTTTAAATTTTTTAATTTTGAATATTCCCATTTTTCGATCTTTGGATATCTCAGTTTTTCGATTTTTCGACTTCTCGATCTTTTGATGTTTTTTCAATTTTTCGGTTTCGATTTCTGGATTTCTCAGTTTTTCGATGATTCGTTTTTTCCTTTATTGGAGTGTTTCGAGGTTTCAGTTTTGGGGGTATTTGTATTTAAATTTTTTGAATTCTTAATTTCTCCATTGATCGATTTTTTAATTTTCTAATTTATCGATTTCTCAATTTTTCAATTTCTCTGTTCAAGTTTTGGGATTTTGCAAAATGGATTTCAATTTTTAAAATTTTAGATTTTTCGACTTTGTTTTTTTGATTTTTTACTTATTCGATTTTTCAAAATTTTGCGAGTTTTTAAATCTTACATTTTTCAACATTTTCATGTATTCGATATTTTAATTTTTGGGGTTTTTGGATTATTAAGATTTTTTAAATTCTCGACTTTTTAATTTTTCGGTTTTGACAATATTTTGATTCCTCCCTAAGATTCTGTAAAATTCTTTCCAAATAAAGAACCCCACAGATACTCGAGATTTTTTAAGTGTTTTAAAATCAAAACACAAGAGGCCCTGAAGATATATAAAAAAAACACTAGTTAACTAAAGTTATTTAGACAGATCTTCCCTCGCCCCTGAAGTAAAAATATACTATCAGTACATGCTTAACTTCAATTGTTTATAGTCGATCTTATGACAATTTTTATTTTATCATTATTAAATATAGACGGGCGCAACAGTACTATATTCTAAATGTAGATGTACATCTTTGGCAACAGCAGTTTTTTTTGTAGTAGGTAATGTTACGATATCTGGTAGTTCAATAATGGTACAACCGTTCCTTCGATTAAATTTTATTGGTTTTATTAAGAATATAATCAGAAATCAAATTTTATGTACACATGAAATGCATCGGAACTCAGTCACCCGTGTCCTCCTTACTCCCGTCCTCAACCTCGGTCGGGTTGATGATCTTGTCGTGGACAGTCCTCAAGTGCCTCAGGAGGTTGCTCTTCACATTGAAACCCTTATAGCACAGTTCGCACATGTATGGTTTTTCCCCCGTATGGGTGCGCTTATGTATCAGCAAGGAAGCATGGGAGGGGAACTTTTTGGAACAAATCGTGCACGAATTCTGCGCAGGGCTGAAAGTCTTTGGAGTTTTTATCACTTTGCCGGGTGCGGTCTTGTTAGACAGGTGCAACTCGAACTCCGTGTGGGTATTCTGGATGTGGTGGACCCATTCCGCGGGCGTTGGGAAGTATTTCTGACACAAGTCGCAGTGGAGCTGGGGGAACGGGGCGTCCGAGTCGTCGTCCTGCGCAAAAGAAACAAAATTAGATCGTCATCAATCGTCATCATCAATCGTCATCATCCCCCAGGATGAGGAGTATTTACATTCAGAGCACCCAAAAGTGGTAGACGAAAATACGGGATAAAGGACTGTAGTATAGTGTCAATAAAATGAGTAGGGAAAATTGTTAACGTAAGGAATAGATATAAGAGGTGATTGTACAGTTGGATAGTGTGGATTAGGTAGTGTTAGAATAAAGTTCTGAAGCGCAACCTGCGTTTCTGTGACCCTTCCCCCCCGTACTCCGTGCCTAAATGTAAGCAGACAACAAATATAAAACGGGATATAAATGTTGAATATTACATGGCGATCCTGCCAGGATGATTCCAGGATAATTGAAACTGAAACCCGTTGTCAGAGGAAAATAAGACATGGGCAGTAAAACGTCGAAAGAAGAAGTCATAATTGCGCAAACAGCAAGCGGGGATGCGACCATAAGGAAGACGGATTGGATCTTAATCTGTTTGACGGTTGTGTTGGTAATTTTATTACTATGGCTGGGAATCAAAAAGTGTAAGAAAATGCTAAGAAAAGTGGTACGTCAAGAAATCCATAAGAATGAATTGGAGCATTCCAGGGACGCTACTACAGAGGCATAGTGATGTAGTGTTACAGTGCAGTGATTGAATGGAAAGTGAAAATCAAGTTAAGTTTTAATCTATTGAAAGTGGGAAAAAGTGGTTAAGTTCGTGAAATTGCGCATAAGGTATTGTAACAGGTTTTCAAAAAAAGAAATATGTCGGGTTAACATCGGTCAAAGGAAGTGCAAAGTACATTTACACTCGTAGGAAATGAAAATTGGAACTTCAGCAAATTAACTAGTTATTGCATCGAGAATTTTTTTTTTTGGATGTTAGATATAAAACTTGGGTTCATTGTTATTGCTGATCGTTGTAATTATTGTTTGATTTATCGTAAAATGTTTGATATGCTAATTTGGTATGAAAGGTTGAGAAACTTTTGATGGAGTCAAACTTAACGTGCATTCATAACAAATTAAAAGAGATAAGAACTTATTTAATAAAAATCGGTCGGGATAGGCGCACTATTGAGTGTGTAAATAGGAAGATAAATGAAGCAAATCAAATTTATAAATGTTTAGATCAGGTAAACAAGCAGGTTAAATTAGATGTAACAAATAAGGAGTATACTGACGAAGATATTCAAAAATTAAATGCACTAAATGGTGAGATACGAAAGATATACAAAGAAATTTTAAATTTTTCAAAAACTACCAGTACGAGTGTCGGCTCCAAGATGGCATTTGATCTTAAAACGGCTGTTAGTCTATTACCTGTCATGAATGATGATGAGGCTGTAACAATGCAATTGATTGACGCAATAGAACTTTACGATACTATGTTAGAATCAACCGGTAAACCTTCTTTAATAAATTTTGTCTTGAAAACACGTCTTTCAGTTGGTGCGAAACTTAGACTTAAATCGAATTACGATAGTGTTGCTTTGCTCATATCAGATATGAAAACACATTTGATTACAAGGAAAAGCGATACCGCTTTGCAAACGAAATTAATGCGCGCCACACAAGGAAATAAATCCGTTTCAGATTTTGGTAAAGAAATAGAAGAAATATTTGTTAATCTTACTATATCACAAGCTAATGGCGATTCGACAGCATTTAATATTTTAAAATCAGTGAATGAAAAAAATGCTATTAAAAGATTCGCGGATGGCTTGCGTAATCAAAAATTAAGTACCATTGTTGCATCTAGAAATTTTTCATCTCTTAAAGACGCGATTCAAGTAGCGCAGGATGAAGAAATATCACGCTTCGGTCCAGAAAATCAAATTATGACAGCAAATCACAATAAACGGAATTATAATAACGCTAGCAAGAAATATAAATCAAACCAAGGTTCGGATTATTCACATAAAAATTGGAACTATTCACACAAATTTCGTAGAGATAATAACGCAAATGGATCAAATTATGCAAGAGGGAATACATCAAACACAAATCGTAATTTTAATAGAAACAAATACTCAACAGGGAAAGTTTTTAATCATAACCATAACAACAATTCATTTCGTAAATACCAATCGAATAAACAAATTAATCATGTCCAAGAAACGACGAAACAAAACACAGAAGTAGGAACCCGTAACCACCAGTTTTTTCGAGAAAGTAATAATTAATGAAATTTGTGAATGCAATGGCACCTCATGGGTAAATTTTGGAGTAAACGATAATAATTTTAGTTTTTTAGTAGATACGGGAGCTTCATTGTGTGCTATTAAGCATGAATGTTTATCTAGCGATAATGAAATAATAAAAGAAAAATTGAAAATTAAGGGGATTACAGGTTATATTTTTTCAGAAGGGTACGTTCATTTAAAATTGAAATATAATGGAAAATATTTTGTTCAAAAATTTTACGTATTTAAAAATTTATCGTGTTCAACAAATGGCATTATAGGTAAAAATTTTCTGAAAAAGTTTAGAGGAGTTATTCATTTTGAAAAGGATACTTTACTTCTGTCACATTTTAATAAAGAAACTATAATAGCGTTACGTTCTGATAATGATGATATTATTGCAATTCCACCGCGATGTGAGTTTGTTTTTTGGTTATCGACAAAAATTAAAGAAGATTGTGTTATTGTGTCAAAAGAATTATGTTCTGAAGTCTTTATTGCCAACAGTATTGTTAGACCAAAAAATGGTAAAATTCCGGTCAAAATTCTCAATACAAGAGAAACTGAAGTATGTTTGAAAAACTGTGTACCTGAGTTGCAAAGATTATGTGAATATAACATATGTAAATTTGAGAGAAATACAGTTCTGGCTGATAGAGTAGAAAATTTATTAAATTTGTTAAACTTAAAGTCGTTAAATCCACAAGAACAGAAAACAATTGAAAATATTTGTGCTAAATACGCTGATATATTTCATTTACCAGAAGATAAATTATCGACTACTAATTTATATAAACAATCCATTAAACTGAAGGATAATACAAGTTCTATTTATGTCAAACCCTATAGGATTCCACAAACACAAAAACTAGAAATCGAAAAACAAATACGTAACATGTTGAAAGATGATATAATAGAAGAATCTAAAAGCGAATATTCGTCACCACTTCTTCTAGTTCCAAAGAAAAATGATAGAAATGGGGCAAAGAAATGGAGGGTAGTTATCGATTATAGGTTACTTAATCAGAAAATTGAGGACGATAAATTTCCCTTACCGAATATAACAGATATTTTAGATTCATTAGCGGGAGCGATATATTTTTCGCATTTAGATCTGAGTCAGGGATACTATCAGGTAGAATTAGAACAACAAAGTCGACCTTATACAGCATTTACTACAAACCAGGGGCAGTTTCAAATGAAAAGGTTGCCGATGGGTTTAAAAACAAGTCCCAGAGCTTTTTCACGACTAATGACAATAGCAATGTCTGGTTTAAATTATGAAAAATGTTTTGTCTACCTAGATGATTTAATTGTATTTGGAAGAAATCTACAAGATCACAATTCTAATTTAATTAAAGTATTTAACAGGCTTAGGGAAGTAAACTTGAAACTTAATCCAGTAAAATGTGAGTTTTTGAAGAAAGAGATTCTTTATTTGGGACATATTATTACATCGAATGGTATTTTACCTGATCCTAGTAAAACTAAAATATTAAATGAATATCCTATTCCGACAACAGTTGATGAAGTAAGACGATTCGTGGCATTTGCTAATTACTACAGAAAATACATACCAAAATTTGCTGAAAGGGCAGCACCCTTAAATCAACTTTGTAAGAAAAATGTAACATTTGAATGGTCTAAATCTTGTCAACAAGCTTTTCTAAATCTTAAAAATGCTCTTACGAGACCTCCGGTATTGGATTATCCAGATTTTTCAGAAAAAAATGAGTTTATTTTACAAACTGATGCATCTGGGATAGCAGTTGGAGCTATTTTATCAAATCAAAATAGTAAACCAGTAGCTTACGCCAGTCGAGTTCTAAATAAAGCCGAATTGAATTGCTCAACTATAGAAAAAGAGTTATTAGCTATAGTCTGGGGAGTGAAACATTTTCGACCATATCTGTATGGTAGACGGTTTAAAATTTTAACTGATCACAGACCACTGGTATATTTATTCAATCTTACCAATCCCTCTAGCAGATTAACTAAATTTAGATTATGTTTGGAAGAGTATGATTTTGTTGTTGAGTATGTGAAAGGAGCAGATAATGTCTCTGCAGATGCTTTATCACGAGTGAGTGTGTCATCGAATGAATTGAAAAGTATGAATGAAAATTTGATTGCTGTGATGACAAGAGCGCAAGTAAAAAAATGTAAATCCAGTGACCAGAAATATGACAATTCAGAGATTACTGCAAACATACGGACTGATCACCCGAATATTGTAGAAATACTCAAAAAACCCAAAGATTGTATTGAATTGGTAGTTAATCCTAAGGCAATTTCCAAAAGTTTTGAGAAATATCACAAAGAAAAGATTGGAAATTTTACCTATATTCCTGCTGTGTCAACAATTTACACAAACCTAAAATCCCGATCGGCATCAGCGCGAGACGAGTTGTCGAGAGAATTAGCGTTAATTTGTAAAAAATTTGATATTACAGAGTTGACAGTTTTAAAAAATAATGATAATGCGCATGTTATAAGAGACCTAGCTAGGATATGTAATAATGAAATGAGCTCACAGGGTACCCAAAATACAAATAAGTTCAACCTTCCTTTTCCAAGGATTTATGTTGTGTCAGGAGCTCAACGTGTATTTAATAAAGATGAACAAACAGTAATTTTAAATGATTTCCACTTACTACCAATTAGTGGTCATGCAGGAATTAACAGAATGCTAAATAATATTAAAAAATATTACTTTTGGCCAGGATTAGGTAGAGACGTTACGAATTTTGTAAAAAAATGTGATAGTTGTCAAAAACAGAAATTTAGTAAACATATAAAAGAACCAATGGTAATTACATCTACACCATCTTCTTCGTTTGAGAAAATCTATTTGGATATCGTAGGCCCTATAGAAAAAGATTTATATTATACTCACACTGCAATGCGATTTAACTAAATTTGTAGAAGCGTATCCATTAAAAACCAAAGACACGATAACAGTAGCTAAAAATTTTGTAGAAAACTTTATTTTACGGTTCGGAATTCCGAAAGAAATTGCTTCAGATCGGGGTACGGAATTTATTTCATCAACAATGGCTGAAATTTGTAAACTATTGCATATTAAGCAGTTGCATTCTACATCTTACCATCATCAGAGTATAGGGGCACTTGAAAATTCTCATAAAGTTTTAGGAGCTTATTTGAGAACGATGACAGAAAATAAAACGAGATCATGGAGTACATGGCTATCTTATTGGTGTTTTTCTTATAATACTACAGTACATACGGAAACAAAGTACACTCCTTATGAATTAGTTTTCGGGAAAAAATGTAAAATTCCTAGCAATTTAGTTAAGGAAATTGAGCCAATGTATAATTTTGACGATTATTCTAAAGAATTAAAATTTAGGTTACAGAAAGCACATCAAGATGCACATTGTAATTTAGTTGCAAGTAAACTTAAACGGAAAGATAAGTACGATAAAAATGCTAATCCCATAGTTTATAAGAAAGATGATTTAATTTTAGTGCAAAACGAAACAGGTGATAAATTAAGTGTTGTGTACAACGGTCCTTTCGAAGTTTTAGAAGAAGAAACACCAAATGTGAAAATAATTAAAAATAGTAGACAGGTAACAGTGCATAAAAATAGAACAAAATTATATCATAAAGATGACTAACGCTATGTACGGCTCACGTTGCATGTAGTGTAGCATGTCTTGTAAAGTCATCAAAAGAAAATTTGTAATAGTAATAGTTAGCGTAGGTCATAACATGTTTAGATTTAGTTTAAACCAAGTTTCAGAATGAATGATTGTGCGAATGTGTTAGTTTTAGACAAAAATTACATCTAAATATTACCTAAATGTATTTTTTTTTCCGGTAGAGGTGTAGTATAGTGTCAATAAAATGAGTAGGGAAAATTGTTAACGTAAGGAATAGATATAAGAGGTGATTGTACAGTTGGATAGTGTGGATTAGGTAGTGTTAGAATAAAGTTCTGAAGCGCAACCTGCGTTTCTGTGACCCTTCCCCCCCGTACTCTGTGCTTAAATGTAAGCAGACAACAAATATAAAACGGGATATAAATGTTGAATATTACAGGACCACTTGGTGTAAGTACGGACGGACGTGGGATTAATTCAAAATGACGATAATACGGGAGGGCCGAAATTTAGGAAAACCGATCTAAAAGGGTCGGGTCTTCAACACTAAGGTGACCCGAATCGTCAGGGTTGCAATCAATTCCACTAGCACATCTCCATGCATACCCCCAAAAACTCTACCAACCTGTTGGTTCTTCCCCCTTCTTTGCCTCTTCGCTGGTAGCATATCCGTATGGGTCTGCACGTGCCGCACCCATTCCGCCGGAAGCGTGAACGTCTCCGTGCACAGTTCGCACGTCAGCGGCGAGTACAACCCCTGCTCCTCCGAGTCCTCCATGTAAATCTCCGGCTTGATCGTCATCTCCGTACTGAACACCTCCTTCTCGTCCACCAGCTCCATCTCCGCCTCGTTCACCTCCGTCCACTCGATCGGCTCCTCCTTGATCACCAGAAACTGCAGCGAATCGTTGCTCTGCTCCGTCTTCTCGCCCCCGTCCTCCGAATCCCCGCTCGCCGCCGACCGCTTCTCCTCCTCCGTGCTCTTGATCACCGAGTTCTGCTTCTCCCCCTTCATCTTCTCCATCTCCGCCGCCAGCGCCTGCTTGTCCACCTTCTGGTACGTCTTCACCATGTTGATGGTGTAGTTGAGCACCTTGGGGGCGCCGGCCGCCGCCTCCGGGCCGTCTTTGTCGGCGCGCGGCGCCGGCGACTGCGGCGGCGCCTGCTTCTTGTCGCTCTTGTGCTGCACCTTGACCAGGCGGTTCTCGCTGCTCTCGTCCTCCTTGGGCCGCCACAGGCCCTTGACTTTGAGGATGTCGCCGCCGCGCAAGACGGGCTCGAGGATGTCCTTAGAGACGGTGGCCTCGCCGCTGTACATGTACTGGACGAGGGTCTTCATGGTGCGGTAGTTGATCTCGGGTGGGAGGATGATCATGAGGGGTAGTGCGGTGGTGACGCGCGGCTGGAGTTTGAGCACCTGGTGCAGGTACTGGCTGCAGGCGGATAAGACGAAGCGGTGCGCCATGATCTGGCGGCCGTCGACGGTGACGAGGGCCACGTCGGCGAAGGATTCGTTCTGGAGGGAGGTGGCGATGCAGGAGTGGAGGTAGCTGCCGAAGGAGTGCCATTTGAGTTGGTAGTTTTCGGCCATGTGGTCCATGCTGGCTGCAAGAAGAAACGGAATTTGGCATCATCGTCGTTATAGAAGCGATAAACAAAGGGGAAAGAAAATGCAACAAGAAACCGGCAAAAACGGCTTCAAAAAAACACAAAAAACAAAAAAGAGATAAAAAAGTAGTCAAAAGAAAAACAAGAAAAAAAGACGACAAAAAATACGGGAAAAGACCTCAAAAAAAGCGGTAAAAACAAGCCGAAAAGTGTCACAACAAGACAAAACAGTCGAGAAAAAAATAGGTAAAAAAAGACGACAAAAATAGGGCGAAAAAAAGTACAAAGAAGACGGCAGAAAAAGTCGAAAAGAAATAAAGAAAATCGTCAAAAGAATGCGTCAAAAAAAAAGTTGACACAAAAACGGCCGAAAAGAGGCTAAAAAAAGACGAAAGAAATGAGTCTAAATAAATAAAAGAGGAAGCAAATGCACAAAAAAAAAACTCTTAAAAGAAAGCGTCAAAAAAAGTGCTTAAAACATGGAGTATAAGAAGAAAAGGCGAAGGAAAAAAGTCTACAAAAAAGGAAATAGAAAATGACAAATAATTCGACAAAAAAACAAAAAGAATAGCGATATAGAAAGGGAAAAAAAGGACCAAAAAACGGTCCCAAGAAAGCGTTAAGAAAAGGTATCAAAAAAGCGTCAAAAGCAGTCCATAAAACAGACGAGAAAAAAGACAAGAAGAAAGCCAGAAAAAAGAAAAAAAAGCCACCAAAAGATAAAAAATGCCATAAAAATAGCGATAAATTAAACAGAACGAAAAAACAACAAAAAATCTTTACAAGAAAGTCTCAAAAAAGGCGTCAAAAAAAAGATGACACAAAAACGGCGGAAAAGAGGATAAAAAAAGACGAAAGAAATGGCTCTAAATAAATAAAAGAGGAAGCAGATAAAAGTCCCTAAAACATGAGGTATAAGAAAAAAAGGCGAAGGAAAAAAGCCTACAAAAAAAGGTAATAGAAAATGACGCATAATTCGATAAAAAAACAAAAAGAATAGCGATATAGAAAAGGAAAAAAAAGGCCAAAAAAACTGCCCCAAGAAAGAGCTAAAAAAAGGTATCATAAAAGCGTCGAAAGCAGTCCACCAAACAGATGAAAAAAAAAGACAAGAAGAAACGCAGAAAAAAGAAAAAAAGCCACCAATAGACAAAAAATGCCATCAAAATAGCAATAAATTAAACAGAAAGAAAAAACAACAAGAAATCTTTAAAAGAAAGTCTCAAAAAAGGTGTCAAAAAAAAGACGACAAAAAAACGGTGTAAAAGAGGCTGAAAAACAGACAAAAGGAATGGTTCTAAATAAATAGGAGGGTTATAAAGGAAAAGTGAAAAAAGGGCGACCCATAAAGGTGAAAAAAAAAACGCAAAAAAACCTACTAAAAGAAAGCTTAAAAAGGTGCCTAAAGACACGAGGTATATGAAGAAAAGGCGAAGGAAAACAGCTTACAAAAAAAGGCAGTAGAAAATGACAAATAATTCGCCAAAAAAACAAAAAGAATAGCGATATAGAAAGGGAAAAAAGGGCCAAAAAACCGTCCCAAGAAAGCGTTAAAAAAAGGTATCAAAAAAGCGTCAAAAGCAGTCCACAAAACAGACGAGAAAAAAGACAAAAAGAAAGGCATAAAAATGAAAAAAAGCCACCAAAAGATAAAAAATGCCATAAAAATAGTGATAAATTAAACAGAACGAAAAAACAACAAAAAATCTTTAAAAGAAAGTCTCAAAAAAGGCGTCAAAAAAAAGATGACACAAAAACGGCGGAAAAGAGGCCAAAAAAAGACGAAAGAAATGGCTCTAAATAAATAAAAGAGGAAGCAGATGAAAGTCCCTAAAACATGAGGTATAAGAAAAAAAGGCGAAGGAAAAAAGCCTACAAAAAAAGGCAATAGAAAATGACGCATAATTCGATAAAAAAAAAACAAAAAGAATAGCGATATAGAAAAGGAAAAAAAAGGCCAAACAAACTGCCCCAAGACAGAGTTAAAAAAAGGTATCATAAAAGCGTCGAAAGCAGTCCACAAAACAAATGAAAAAAAAGACAAGAAGAAACGCAGAAAAAAGAAAAAAGCCACCAAAAGATAAAAAATGCCATCAAAATAGCAATAAATTAAACAGAAAGAAAAAACAACAAGAAATCTTTAAAAGAAAGTCTCAAAAAAGTTGTCAAAAAAAAAAACGACAAAAAAACGGCGGAAAAGAGGCTGAAAAACAGACAAAAGGAATGGTTCTAAATAAATAAGAGAGTTATAAAGGAAAAGTGAAAAAAGGGCGACCCATAAAGGTGAAAAAAAAACGCAAAAAAAACCTACTAAAAGAAAGCTTAAAAAAGGTACCTCAAGACACGCGGTATAAGAAGAAAAGGCGAAGGAAAAAGACCTACAAAAAAAGCAATAAAAAAAAGATAAATGATTCGCCAAAAACAAAACAAACAAAAAAATAGCGATAAATAAAGGGAAAAAAGCGCTAAAAAAAATCCGTCACAAGAAAGCGTTAAAAAAAGGCACCAAAAAAAGCGTCAAAAGCAGCCCACCAAACAGACGAAAAAAAAGACAAGAAGAAAGGTAGAAAAAACACTAATAAACGGCCGAAAAAAACACCATGTAAAACAAGGTACAAAAAGCGACAAAAAACAATAAAAAAACAAAAAATAATTGAGAAACAAGCAATAAAAACAACAAATATTTCCACAAAAAGGCGACAATATGGTGGCAAAATAACGGTAAATATAAGACGATAAAAAAAAATGAAAAAAAAGACTAAAAAATGCAGTAAAAAAAAGACGAAAAGAATGGCGATAAATATAAGCGAAAAAAAAAGACGCATAAAAACTCATGACAAGAAAGAGCCAAAAAAGACGCCACAAAAAGATCGCAATAAGACGAAAAAAAAGGACAGGAAACACCAGCAATAATTCGACAATAAAAATGCAAAAAATGACGAAAAAGACTACAAAAAAGGCGGTAAAGAAGAGGCGAAAAGAATAGCGATAAAGAAAATCAAAGAGAAAACGCGACCAAAAAAAAACCTCCAGAGAAGGCGTCAAAGGGCCGAAAGTATAGCGATAAAAAATTAAAAAACGCTCTAAAAAACACCAAAAAGCGTCAAAAAAAGATGAAAAATAAGACGAAAAAAGACAAAAAGGAATAGCGTTAAATACAGGGCAAAACACGCTCCAAAAAACTGGAACAAGAAAGTGTCAAAAAAGCACCAAAAAAGCGTCAAAGCCGGTTCACAAAACAGATAAGAACAGACGGTGACAAAAAAAAAGACGGTAAAAAAGAATAAAGACAAGCGACATATAAACGAAAAAGAAAAGAATAGCAATAAATTAAACACAAAGAAAAAGCTACAAGGAACCTTTAAAAGGTCTGCTGGGTAATAATATTAATAAAAAAATAAACAAAAATAAACAAAAAGAAAGTGTCAAAAAAGGCCTGAAAAAACAATAAATAAAAGATGAGAAAAAGAGATGACAAAAAACGGAGGAAACACGTTATAAAAAAGGTTATAAAAAACGAAACACATGGCGAAAGAAAAAGATTCAAGAAAAGGCGTCAAAGAAAAAAAAACACCACAAATAATTCGACAAAAAAATCTGTAAAATCAATAAAAAAGGGGTTAAAAGCTTAAACAAAATGCCAAAAATAGCGGAAAAAAGATACAAAAAGAGGCAGAAAAAAAATAGGCGAAAAGAATAGCGGGAATTAAAGACGAAAGAAGACCCTCCAAAAAAAAAAACGCGTCAAAAAATAGAATGGAAAAAAGGCTACAAAAAAGCAATAAAAAATAAACAATTGGAGAAAAATGACAAAAATATAGCGTCAAAAAAGTTAAAAAGCAGACGATAAAAAAGACGACAAAACAAGGAGAAAAAAGAGGACAAAAAAAAGTAGAGAAAAAAAACGAAAAGAATTGTGATAAATAAATAAAGGCGAAAGCAAATGTGCAAAAATACTCAAAAAAAAGGCGCCAAAAGAAAGACGCGATATAAAAGGAAAAAAGTCGATGGAAAAAAGGCTACAAAAAGCAATAGAACAAAAAATAATTCGACAAACAAGCAATAAAAAACAACAAATAATTCGACAAAAACGGTAAAAATATGGCGGCAAAATAACCATAAATACAAGGCGAGAAAAAAAGACAAAAAAATGAGGAAAGAAGGCTTCAAAAAAGGCAGTAAAAGAGACGAAAAGAATGGCGATAAATAAAGGCGAAAGAGAACTCATAAAAAAAAACAGCAAAGAAAGTACCAAAAAAAAGGCGGGAACAAAAACACCAGAATAAGACGAAAAAACGACAAATAAATCGCCATAAACGCAAAAAATGGCGGAAAAAGACTATAAAAAAGGTGACAAAAAAGAGTCGAAAAGAATTGCGATAAATAAAGACGAAAGAAAACGAGCTAAAAAAAGTCAAAATTAAACGTCTAAAGAGGCACCAAGAACCGTCAAAAAAATGACAAAAAGAAGACGCGAAGACAAGACAAGGAAAAAGGATGACAGAAAACCGTGGAAAAAAGACTCCAAAAAAAGGGTTGTAAGGGAAAGGTGAAAAAAGGGCGACCCATAAAGGCGAAAGAAAACGCCACAAAAAAAGTCAAAAGAAAGTGTCAATAAAGGCGCCAAAAAACCACTAGATATAAAGCGGAAAAAAGAGGATGGAAAAAGGCTACAAAAAGCGACAAAAAAGTAATAAAAACAACAAATAATTCAACAAACAAGCAATAAAAACCAACAAACAATTCAACAGAAAAAAGCTACAAAAAAAGGCTGGTGATAAAGGCAAAAGCAAATGTACAAAAACACTCGTCAAAAAAGACCAGATATAAAACGAAAAAAAAGACAATGGAAAAAAACGCTACAAAAAGCAATAGAAAACCAGCAAATAATCCGACAAAAAAGGGCAAAAATATAGGGGCAAAATAACCATAAATACAAGGCAAAAAATGGCGGAAAAAGACTACAAAAAGGTGGCAAAAAAGGTGAAAAGAACAAAGAAAAATAAAGACGAGAGTAAACGAGCCAAAAAAAAGCCAAAATTAAGCATCAAAAAGGCATAAAAAAGCGTAGAAAAATGAAACGAGGAAAAAAGACAAGAAAAAAGGCCACAAGGAAAGGTTATAAAGGAAAGCTGAAGAAACGGAGACAAATAAAGGCGAAAGAAAATGCGACAAAAAAAAGTCACAACAAAGCGCCAATAAAGGCGCCAAAAAAGACTAGATATAAAACGAAAAAAAAACGATGGAAAAAAGGCTACAAAAAGCGACAAAAAAAGAAATAAAAACAACAAATAATTCAACTAATTAACAATAAAAAACAGCAAACAATTTGAAAAAAAAAGGGAAAAATATACCCTCCACAAAAGTGATAAATAAAAGACGGAAACATAGATGAAAAAGAAGGAGGAAAAAGGCTACAAAAAGGCAGTAAAAAAAATGAAAAGATTGGTGATAAATAAAGGCGAAAGCAAATGTACAAAAACACTCGTCAAAAAAAGACTCCAAAAAAGACTAGATATAAAAAAAGACGATGGATAAAAAGGCTATAAAAAACAATAGAAAACAACAAATAATTCGACAAAAAAAGACAAAAATATAGCGGCCAAATAAAGATAAGTATTAGACGAGAAAAAAAGGAAAAAAAATGAAAAAAAGCGAAAGAGCACTCATAAAAAACCCATCAAAGAAAGTGCAAAAAAAGGCACCAACAAAAAGCGACAAATAATTCGACACAAAAACGTGACAAAAAGGCTTAAAGAATTCCGATAAATAAAGACGAAAGAAAACGAGCCAAAAAAAAGTCAAAATTAAGCATCAAAAAGGCATAAAAAAGCGTAAAAAAATGAAACGAGGAAAAAAGACAAGAAAAAAGGCCACAAGAAAAGGTTATAAAAGAAAGCTGAAAAAACGGCGACAAATAAAGGCGAAAGAAAATGCGACAAAAAAAGTCAGAACAAAGCGCCACTAAAGGCGCCAAAAAAGACTAGATATAAAACGAAAAAAAAAAGATGGAAGGAAAAAAGGCTACAAAAAGCGACAAAAAAATGTACAAAAACACTCGTCAAAAAGACTCCAAAAAAGACTAGATATAAAAAAAGACGATGGACAAAAAGGCTACAAAAAACGATAGAAAAACAGCAAATAATTCGACAAAAAAAGACAAAAATATAGCGGCCAAATAAAGATAAGTATTAGACGAGAAAAAAAGGAAAAAAAAATGAAAAAAAGCGAAGGAACACTCATAAAAAACCCATCAAAGAAAGTGCAAAAAGAGGCACCAACAAAAAGCGACAAATAATTCGACACAAAAAGGTGACAAAAAAGGCGGAAAGAATTCCGATAAATAAAGACGAAAGAAAACGAGCTAAAAAAAAGTCAAAATTAAGCGTCAAAAGATGCACCAAAAAGCGTAAAAAATGAGAAAAATAAGAATCGACAAAAAGATAAGAAAAAAGGACGACAAAAAACGATGGAAAAAAGACTACAAGAAAAGATTGTAAAAGAAAGGTGAAAAGAGGGCAACAAATAGAGGCTGAAGAAAACACGACAAACTAAAGTCAAAAGAAAGCGTCAATAAAGACGACAAAAAAAGACGATGGAAAAAAGTCAGAATAAGACAAGTCAAAAAGACAAGAAAAAAGATGGCAGAAAAATACGGAGAGAAGAACAAGAACACTTTCACCAGTGGCGTATCATCAGTTATTATGTTTGTTCAAAACCAAAAACGATCAACTGACTTGAATATAAGGTGGTTATAAAGGACAGCTTTTTTAGTGTAATTTATGTGCAACAGATAGGCAACCAATAATTTAGATATTATAGACTGGCGTATGCATTGATGGAAGCGGCACATTCTTACTAAAACAGTTTCAATTCATTTATTCATCCCCACCAAAAACGACTTGATGACGTCATCTAAAAAATTATCAAGTACATACACCTTTTTCGAATTTTTTTCGGATTTTTTAATTTTTCCATCTTCTGCGATAACTGTAAACGTAATGACCAATATGTGTAAAAATTATTGATTTTTTTATGTTAAATTCGGTAAAAGTGCTAGACAAAAACCCGCTCATCGAACTGTTGGAGCACAAACCCAATAACAAAACACGCCATGCATCAACAAATGAACGACGTCGTTAAGATAACAAGCTGATAACGAACACACCATAACCTCACAACCCCCGGTTGGCGGGCAACCAACCATACCCAACCCTTCAAAACCCACTTTTCTCCATCTGCGGGCCCAGACCACCTGCACCACACACCTTCCAATATCACGCCAATCCTACACTAATCTGCACCTGTTGCCAACGAAAAAACCGCCAACCTACCGACTCTTCGCAAGTTCGCATTATCAGCAAGCACCTACTTCCCATTTACAACAACAAATCGATTCTCCGCGTCGCAAACCGCCAAAATAAAACCCAGCAAACGCGGCCCACTCGCACAAACCAGCCATCCAGCACGGAAAAATAGAAGAAAAACGCGAAAGCTCCTCAATTGCCCGAATATGACTGAATAACCGATTGTTCATTCGAGTGAGCGTGTGTCGGCGGCGGCACGCCGCCGCCGCCGCCAAAGGGCGAGTAAAAACCAGAAATTGTTTACCTTTTGCTCGAGGGAGTCAGCAAGAACGCATCACTGCTGCAGCACTTGTACAAAAGTGAATTTGGCCAGTTGCAGATGCCGGCATAAAAATCGATAAAATCGGTCTACCTCTATTGATTTCATCCAGCCAATCCTGGACAGCCATTTATCCTATCGACCTGACATCGCTCTAGTCGCGCACTCCATTTTATTGATTTACAAGCTCAAAATTGTATTGTTTCGTCTACTTTGCACGAGAATTTCGTACAATTATTGGGAGAAGGCGGCGGGATGGGCGCAAGGCGAAGACTGTTGGGCCGGAGGCGATGGGCAGGGATGGTTGGTGAGGGATGGTTGGGGGGCGAAGGAAGGGGATCGTTTGTACTTTTTTTTGGTGGAGGGTCAACGAGAATAGAGCTGGAACAGGGGAAGTCTTGCACGGGAAAGGGTGCCAGGAAATGTCTTAGTTTTAGACGTACGGTAAAACTTACGTTTAATGTCAAGTTGAGGATATATAGTACATCGTAAAAGTCTTGTAGCGGAAACTATTTTACGTTTTTTAATAAAATATCTGATCTGATGTTTGCCAAAAGTTATACTTTAAAATGTAAACAATTTTGCTTTAATTATATCGATTTATATATATTATATTTCTTCAAATTCTGAGAGCAACACAACTGAGTTCGGTTAAGCTGAAATCGGGAACTCTTTATATTTGCTTATCATTTTTTTTTATTTGTGTATAAATTTGTTGGTAAATTCGTTTATTTAAACAGTTTTTGTAAATTTTGTTTATAAATTTGTTTATAATTTACCTGCAAAATTTGTGGTTAATTTTATGTTTATGTAAAAATTTGTTGCTAACACTTTACCCAAAAATTTGTTACTAAATTTGATTATTTATAAATTTATTGCTGAACTACTTTATTTATAAATGTATTTATAAACTTTTTTATTTATGAATTTACTGCCAGATTAATCTATTTATATATTTTTTTTGCCGAATTTGTTTATTTATAAACTTTATAAATTTGTTTACAACTCTGTTTATGTATAACTTAATATATTTTTTTTATTTGTGTATAAATTGGTTGGTAAATTCGTTTATTTAAACATTTTTTGATAAATAAGTTTATCTGAAAAGTTGTTTATAATTTTATTTAGAAATTTGTTTACCATTTGTTTATTTAAATATGGTTATAAATTGTGTATAAACATGTTTATAAATTTATAGACAAATATGGATCTTGCAATTAAGCCCCGCCCTTCGACCCGACAACGAATGAAAAATTCATTACAATTGAGAATTGAGATGGACGCGGGTATGGGTGGGGCCAAATCTTTGGCTTTATTTTTTCTTAATATACATGGTATTCTTTGAACAACACGATTCAAAATAAAGATTTTGCAGTTAAGCTCCGCCCCCTTGACTCACGATGAATAAAAAAAAATCATCACAATTGAAATAGAGCGGGTGGGCGGGGCTACATTTTTCCTTTTTTACTTCCCGAGTGTAAGCAAAGTAAGTATTGTAATCGAGTCCGTCGGCCGACTCTCTACTTTTACATTTTCTCGATTTTTCATGACATTTAGAACACGAAAAAATAGGTCTCCCGTTTCCGTCTGTCTGTCTGTCCGTCTGTCTGTCTTTATGTCTGTCCGTCTGTCCGTCTGTCTGCCGTCCCGGATTTTTATTAGACAGATTATCTTTGAAAACTTCCCCAAAATTTAAATTTTGTCGAGTAAACGAATCACGGAACCTGATAAATTAAAACTGAAGTTGTACTTACCCTGTTTTCAGTCCTTTTCGGAAAAATATCCATTTTCTTTCGTGTTCACAGCACCAACACAACACATTTTCACTAATATTTATTAATAATAAATTAGAAATCAGCGATAAGAGCCCTACTTTTAAGTCAAACCGGAGCTCCAATGTTGCTGCTATCAGACCGAAATCTAAACTGAACACAAGAGGCCGACAAATGCGACCTTTGGACAAGTAGCTCACGTGACAGTGACGTCATCGCACGTCACGATGAGATTGCAAAAATTATTTTTCATATTTCGGCCGGGAAATTGCACATTTTCGGGGTTAATTTAATAATATTTAAACAAATTGCTTTGTTTTAGTAACTTCGCGTTTTTAAGAAAACCGTGTTCGATTTAATCATCATATATTACTATGCATCGTATTTAAACATTATAAATAATATTAATTATGTTTAAATATTATTTAGTTATATCGTGAAAATGTATAGCTTTGTTAGACCAACTTCAACCGTTTCGAAAATTTCCCCAAAATTTAAACTTTGTCGAGTAAATGAATCACGGAACCTGATATATTAAAACTGAAGTCGTACTTACCCTGTTTTCGGAAAAATACCCATTTTCTTCCGTGTTCACAACAATAACACAACACATTTTCCCTAATATATATTAATAATAAATTAGAAATTTGGGAAATTGCTCTGCTTTTACGCCAAAAGGACGCGACGATCTTATCGCCATCAAACAGAAATTAAAACTGAACACAAAGGACCGGAAAACGTAACCTTTGGACAGGTAGCTCACGTGACAGTGACGTCATTGCACGTCACGATGAGATTGCAAACATTATTTTTCATATTTTGGCCGGCTAATTAGGCATTTTCAGGATTAACTTAGCAATATTTAAACAAATTACTTCGTTTTTAATACCATCGTGTTTTTAGTAAAACGGTTTTCGGTTTGATTATCATATATTAATAGTCATACCATATTTGAGCATTATAAATAATATTAATTATGTCTAAATTTTATTTAATTATATCGTGAAAATGTATAGCTTTGACCGATCAACTTTTTTTTCGAATTTTTTTCCAAAATTTAAACATTGTCGAGTAAACGAATCTTGGAACTTGATAAATTAAAACTGAAGTCGTACTTACCCCGTTTTCGGTCCTTTTCGGAAAAATATCATCTTTCGTTCGTGTCCACAGTACTAACACAACACATTTTCACTAATATTTATTAATAATATTTAAATTAGAAATTCGCGAAAAGAAGTCTACATTTAAGCCAAAATATTTTGCCTTTTTTTCTTGTTCGTAACCTTCTTTTCGCAACAGAAAACTTAAAACGTGTTTAAAACAGGAAATATGGATTTTGTAATTACGCTCTGCCCCTCAGTCTGGCAACGAATGGAAAATTCATCAGGATTAAGAACTGAGATTGAATTATAAATTAACAAATACAGCAACAAAATTATAAATAAACAAAGTTACGGACAAATGGATAAGCAAACTTATAAATAAGCAAATTTTGTAGCAAATGTAGCAACATTCAACAACAAGTTTTAAACAAACTTAGCAAAACTTTATAAATAAAAGAAGATTATAAATTAACAAATTTGACAACAAATTCATAAATAAACAAATTTACAAACATATTTATAAATAAAAAAAATTACAGCAACAAATTTACTAACAAATTAATGAACAGATTTCTAAAAAAACAAAGTTATAAAAATCAAATTTAGAAACAGTTATAAACAATCACATTAAGCAACAAACTTATAGATGAATAAATTTATAAAACAAATCTCTAAATTTGGCAACAAATTTCTAAACAAAAAAAATGGCTACAAATTTAGAAACAAAATTATAAATAAATAAAGTTACGGACTAAACTTAGCAAAACTTTCTAAATAAAAGAAAATTTTTATAAATTAACAAATTTGACAAAAAATTCATAAATACAGAAATTTATAAACATGTTTATAAATAAACAAATTCTCAACAAATTTACTAACAAATCAATGAAAGGATGTATAAAGAAACAAAGTTATAAAAAGCAAATTTATAAACAGTTATAAATAACAAATTAAGCAACAAACTTATAGATTAATAAATTTATAAACCAAATCTCTAAATAAATTTTGCAGCAAATTTCTAAACAAAGTTATAAATAAACAGGAATATAAACAAAAAAATGGCTACAAACTTAGCAACAAATTTATAGATAAACAAATTTTGCAATTTGTTAAACAAATTATAAACAAATCCATAAATGAAATTATAAATAAACGAAATCGTACATACACGAATCGATATCTCTACTAACAGGAGAAATATTTCCTACAAAGGAAACTTTTAGACTTTCGATATATATTTAGAGCTGGATTTCTGATACTCATGTACACGTAATACTTTGACAAAGATTAATCTTCAATGACCCGTTTAACATTCTTTTGTCTTTGTTTTGTCAAAGTGGCTTTTTTCTAGACGTCGCTGATGACCTAGACTATTAGAGCAGGATTTTTTGCTTGAATAATAAAAATAGACGTTATCAATACACAAGCAACATAATTTTCAAACAGAAATTTAAACGATTTTCATGTTTCAAAGTACGTCTTTTTTAAAATCTAAGTAGCTTTTTAGACAAAAGTCGAAAAACGCGCTAAATTTGAAAAAATATGTACACACAACCTGTAAATTTATAACAGCATTCTGTAAGCACTACCAATTCCGACAAAACTTTACAAAATTTTACTTTTCACACTAGAGAATTCTACAGCCGCGCTTTTCGTTCCACTTATACTTCACAGATGACGCACCCAACAATCATAAGATATAGTTTCTGAAATTTCGAATTTGATTTAATTTTAAACTTTGAAATTAATCTAAGGGGGCGCCAGGGGTGGCACAGGGCTTTGCTGGGGTGGCCTGTGCCCCCCCCCCCCCACCTTGGTTACGTACCTGATGATGTCTTCTGTTTTCTTCTAAAACATCATGGAAAAGATGTGCTATGTTCTACAAGATGAAAAAACTGACATGTACCAAACAAATCTTACTAAAGATACCAGGCAATTTTTTTTCTGATTTCATAGTGAAGACCATAAGAAAAATTTTCACCTTTCAAATCGTTTCAAATTTTGCAAGATCTCTTCAAATTTTTCCAGATCGCTTCAAATTACTGTAGATTGTT